CAGAGAGAGGATAAATGTGGCCATAAGGAATAGGAGCTCCGGGTATGAGATCTATTGGACAGTCATATACCCGATGAGGTGGAAGTGTTTCGGCTTCTTTTTTACAAAAGACATCTGCGAAATCTGAGTAGAATGGAGGTATAACTGGTTCCTTAGTAATTTGGAGAATAGGAATATGTTGTAAGCACGTTCTTTTACAAAAATCAGAGGAGAAAGAAATGGTGAAGGGAGACCATTTAATTAACGGGTTATGGGTTTTTAACCAATTAATTCCCAGAGTGACAGGATAAAGTGGAGATTTAATAACATCAAATGTAAGGAATTCGGTATGAACGTTGTTGGTAATCATTCTTAGAGGAATTGTCTCATCTTTTATGGGTCCTGAGGATATAAATGAACCATCAATAACTCTGATAGGAACAAAGTTAGTTTTTCGAACACAAGGAATTTTATTCTTTGTAACAAAGGAATAATCAAGGAAGGTTCCATTAGCACCGGAATCAATTATGGTCTCAGTCACGATTCTTTTTGTATCCCACTGTAATATGAGAGATATAGAAAAATAAGTAGATGTTTTTTTTTTTTGTAGAACGTTCAATATTGAAGTAGATGATTGATGCTTACCACCTTTTGAATGTTTCAGTAGAAGACATTCGGGAATTAGATGTTCTTTCGAGGCACAATACATACATAGGTTTAGTTGTCTCCTTCTTATTCTTTCTTCAGAAGTAAGAGGACTTATTATACCTACTTCCATAGGTTCAGGTTGAGGAGGAATTTTTTCAGGTAATTTAGGAGAAGTGAAAGGTTTTCTCCAAGTAGAACTAGTAAGAACCTTTTCAGCCCTTCTTTCTCTTAGACGTCTATCAATACTAATGGAAAGTTGAATCAATGTGTTTAAGGTAGGAGGGAGTTCGGTACGAGAGAGTTCATCTTTCACAGCTTCTGATAATCCGAGACGGAATTGATTGCGTAAAGTAATGTCATTCCATTGGTTTTCTGTAGCCCATCTTTTAAATTCTGCAATATAATCTTCAACAGGTCTATTCTTTTGGTGTAGAGTTCTGATGGTTAAATCAGCAGTAGTTTGTTTATAAGGATCTTCATATAATAAAGACATAGCTTCAAAGAACTCATCTAATGAATCTAATATGGGATCATCATTCTCTAAAAAGGAATGGGCCCAAGCCATAGGTTCACCTCTTAAAAAAGAGATCACAGAACAGACTTTAGATCTTTCAGTGAGATAAGATCTAGGTCTTAAAGCTATTAGAAGTTTGCAAGAATTCAAAAACTCTCTGTACTTTGTTCTATCTCCATAAAATTTTTCTGGATTGCAGACAGCAGGATCGCTAGCCGATTGAAGAGCGGCATGAGGAAGATGACCTTGCATGTCTCTGACATAGGTTAATATTCTCTCATTTGTATTTTGCAATTCCTGTAAACCCTGAGCAATCGTATCCACTCTATTGGTCAGGGCAGACACTTGAGAGTTAATATCTGCTGGTTCCATTGAGAAGGCTGGATTATTCTGTAATACTTATTTTATTTGGAACTCAACTGCAGAATTTTCTAATTGCAGTAACTATTAGTTTCACCTCCTGTTATACTGATGTGGGGAGAGTTACTGTAGCTTTAAATACTTAAGCAGGATGTTAATTGTGAGTAAAGAATAAGCCAATGATAATCTGCATAAGCAAGTTAGTTCCAAATTAGGAATTAATGCAGAAAAATATGCAGAGTAAGTTTTTAGCTTAATTAAGATGGAATAATTGCAAGCAAGATTATTAATGAGGAAAGACAGAATTGCTGCTAGGAATAATTTGATTATTGGAGGAAGAATTTATCCTTAAAAGCAGTTCCTTATGTATTAGAGAGAACAACTTGAGAGAATGCCACAGTAATGAAATTTCAGATACAGTCTATTATTAGTAACAGAGGAAGCTTGATTGTAGGGACAATTACTTAACTTAAGAGGCAGTTCTGGAACTGTAGGGGTTAATTACATCCAATGGAAGTGGAGAAGGTAGAAGTCCGTTTAACAAGCTGAGGTCTGAGAGTGGAGAAGGTAGAAGTCCGTTTTAACAAGCCGAGATCTGGGAGTGGAGAAGGTGGAAATCCGTTTAGCAAGCCGAGGTCTGAGAGTGGAGAAGGTAGAAGTCCGTTTTAACAAGCCGAGATCTGGGAGTGGAGAAGGTGGAAGTCCGTTTAGCAAGCCGAGGTCTGAGAGTGGAGAAGGTAGAAGTCCGTTTTAACAAGCCGAGGTCTGACAGTGGAGAAGGTAGTAGTCGTCCCAGAACGCTACCCGATACAGGCAGGATCAAGGTAGAGCAGCTGATAAGTTGCAGACACTTGTGCAATAATCCAGCCCTTTGAATCTGGCGCGGTCTTCCTAAGTAGCGTGGAAGGACCGCTTCAGAAAAAAGGGGCGGGGCTAAGCTACGTGAACCTGGAAGTGGGTTCCTGCGGTGACATGTATGTCAGGCTATACCTGACACGGACAGAGGTCCACAATTCATATCTCAATTTTGGAAAGAATTCACTACTCGTCTCGGTATCAATCTATGTCTCACGTCTGCTTATCATCTAATGAGGCTGCTGGAAGAAGTAATCAGTCATTGGAACAATATTTAAGATGTTTTATTTCACATAATCAGGACAATTGAGCAGCTTTGATTCACTGGGCTGAATATGCTCATAACTGTAACCAGAGGGAATCTACTAGGCACAGTCCATTTTATCTCAATTATGGGTTTCATCCTACTATTCTTCAAGCTTAATTTCATTTGTCAGGAATGCCTGCTGTTGATAATTATTTGGAGAACCTGCAAGAAAAATGGGAACAAATCTAGCCACATCAATCTTCTGTTCAGAAGAAATATGCTGATAAACGTAGAAAAGCGGCTCCCACATATCAAGTTAGTGATAAGGTTTGGTTGAGTACCAAGCACATTCATTTGAAAGTTCCATTCATGAAATTCACTCTTTGGCTCATTGGTCCTTATAAAATTTTACGTTGTTTGAATCCTGTTTCTTACAAGTTGCAGTTGCCTGCATTACGTATCCCCAATTCCTTTCATGTTTCTTTATTGAATCCTCTTGTTTGTAACAAATACTCCAGGCATGCCCGGTCTCCTCCTTCTGTCCTTGTAGAGGATCATGAGGAATATGAGGTTCAGTCCATTATCAATTCTCGTATCTCCAGGGGTACTCTACATTATCTAGTGCATTGGAGGGATTATGGTCTTGGATTGCTGTACATGACGTCCATGTTCCTCGTTTGATCAGGGCTTTCCATGCCTGTTTTCCTCATCGTCCTGGTGGTTTAGGAATCCTATACTTACCTTGTCGGTCCGTCGATCAGCAATTTTTCCAGTCGGTTGAACCGCCTCCTCCAGTCATCCTGCCCGATCAGACAGTCTCCAGGATGCTGGCCGCACGCCCCTTTTTATTATACAACGCACGCATGCCCACGTCAGGTGATGGGCAGTACTGAGGGCGTGATCTACAGATGCCCTCTCACATTTTTGGGGTGACTACATCAATCACACCCCCAAAAATATAAAAGCACATTTAGCCAGTGTTTCAGGGCCCTGTTGTGGTTCCTAGTGTCCCAAGAGTGCATTTCTTACTGGTTTAGTGCTATTTTCTTTTTCACTGCTTTTTCTTGAATACTCTGATTTCTTGTTGCCTTAACTTGGCTCTGGTATTTATGTTTTTTCTCTAGTTCTCTTTGACTTAGGCCTGTTTTTGACTATTCTTTTCTTATTAGTCTTCAGTCCGGCCATTCTAAGGATCGGTTTAGGTATTTTTTTGTACCTATAGGAGGGTTATTATTCTGCGTGTTGGGTTACCCATTTCATGACACTTAGGGGCTTTACACACAACTCATCACACTGGTGAACATGGGTTTGGAGGTGACATTGTTGGACACATAAAGGAGTGGTGGGAGTGTTGCAGGAGGTATCAGGATTAAATTTCTTAGAATTTTTATTTTTCCTCTGTCGTTTATTTACTTGTGCACGTCATTGCTTCTTTTACTTCTCTCCTCTCTAACCTCTGCCAACCTCACTTCGGTGATGTGTAGTCCTTGACTACTGTATGCATAGGTGCCTATATCCGCACAATTGGTTTTCTCAATAAGATTTTATTTGGTATATGATATACTAATGTAAATGTTTTTCACATGAATAAAATACAAGGCTCAAGTCCTGCAACCCCGTTCCCGCTAGTAGTCCTGCAGGACCTGCCCTGTTACCTGCACATGGGGGCCCAGCACACTCTGTTTTCCCTCTCCAGCTGCAGCTCACATTCGCGAGACCCGCGGCCATCAGAACGTTGCCACGGGTTACCATGGCAATGCTCCGCACAGCATGCGGGCGAGTCTCGCGAGAGTTAGACAGAGCTGGAGAGGGAAAACAGAGTGTGCAGCGGCTGGCTCCCTCAACCTTATCACCGGACCACCAGGTGATATCCCCCCTCCCTGACAAGGTAAGAAGCAGGGAGGGGGGAATAAAATAAAAAATATAAACTCAAACATTGGGGAAAAAAATGCTTTCCCCCCCCCCAACACACACACACACACACACTGCACTCACTACATACACTCTGCATTCATTATACACACTCTGCACTCACTACAAACACACTACATTCATTATACACACTCTTTACTCACTACAAACACACTCCACACACTCTGCACTCACTACATTCATTATACACACTCTGCACTCACTACAAACACACTACATTTATTATACACGCACTGCACTATATGCATAGGTGTGTACTTTTTATTTATTTTATTTTTTTAAGGGGGGGGGGGTGGAAATCTTGGTCGAGTTCACACACTTTTTTCCCCAGGACTTGACCCCTGATAAAATATAATAGAATATTACTTTGTTTTGCCTAGCCACATTCACGATGTTTCACATGTATGTTTATCACTATATTTCTATCATTTCAAAAATTCAATAAAACTTTTATTGGAAATTTTTTTTTAATTTAAACTAAAAAACAGAGTGATTTTTTTAACTTAAGTTTTAGATGTTTGTTATAGCACATATTGTTTATGACTTTTTTTGTCAAACAGGAAAATCTATGTGGTTGTAACTGTGTCTAACTGTCTTCCTTTTCTTCTGCTAATCTAAATGCGTGTGCACGTGTGTGAACTCCTTAGTGTCTGTTGTATTAGAGACACAGCTCCGCACACAGACACAGAAAAAAAAAGTGATGAGCATATATATATGGCAAAAAGACAATATCAGAGAGTATAAAAAGAAAAGGAGTGATTGAAGAAGTGTAAGAAGAAGCGGATATTTTATACCAAACAAAATCGTTACATTCATAATGAATTTCCAGGTTGAGTGTCCCTTTTTGATCATTTGGCTGTTTCTGGGTGAGTAAACCATGTTTATGTGTTTATAAAAGTAACAGTTATTCACTGAACTTACTGTGAATGTCCATTTAAGTCCAAAACAGCTGAATTGGAAAAATTCTCTAATTCAGCTATAATTCCAGTTTGGCTACTTTGTACTAAAATTTTAAATTCTCATAGAATTCACTTTAGTGAATAACCTTGTATGCTGGAAATAGTTGTGAATTCACCAGGGAATCAAGAAATTTAAGGACAAAATTGCAGAGGTGGAAACAGATATTTTAAAGAATTTAACTTGCTCACCTGGTACATTTGGCCTAAAATGTCCCCTGGTAATGTTTCAACAAGTCACAATTTAGTGAATAAGATTGAAAGGAAAAAGTTGTGTCATATGGATAAAGAGGTGAATTATATACTCTTAATAACAGTGAATTATAAAAAATAATGTCAATATTGGCTCCTTGACCACGCCACAAAATCAAAAAGCAGTTTGACTAAGAACTGAGAGGGGCCAAAACAATTCCTGTATCCACTGGTGAATAGCGTCTGTTTGCCAAGTGATCTTTTTACAAGTGAAATGGTGCACCGGGGCTTTTGTGCACACTGTCAAGGTTAAAGAAAGACCCTCCACTAAATGAAATGTATTAGAGTTTAATAAAATGCACAATATAAGGGGTTTATTAATAACCAAGCGGATCTCTTGATGTGAAAAAAGACAATATGTTTGTCTATCTGTACAATACTAAAGTATTTTCGTAACATAAGATGATTAATCGCTTTTAATCAGATAGATGCCATTTGACGCTCTCTGTTATACATTCATTTACAACTCGCTTGAGGAAACACAAAATGTCCGCCTCTCTGCACATTCACTGACTCAGAACTAGTAAACGTTCATGGACAAAAAATCCTTCACTGATAATATTGTTTGGAGAACCTTCACTGCTGTGTAATGGTGTTATGCATTTAATACAATAAATAAAGTTCAAGTGTCATATGAAAAATGCTGAACTCGTGGCAAAACCATTAATACTGATATTAAGAGTTTTATCAGTTTGGTGGCTGAGCTGAAAATTTGCATAGGCATACTAAGGCTAAGGGTTTTGCTGTATGAGAAATTTGAGAGGGACTGTCATAGCATCTTGACCCTATGATCCTAAACCAAAGTCCCATAGTCACACATTCACTTCAATGAAAAGCAATACTAAATAGATAGTCATACAGACAGATATATTGGTAATGTATGTGGATAGGGTGTATGTGTAAGTGGACAAAACTGTTTGAGTTTGTTTATATATTAATAATTCAAACTAAAATTAAAAATGTAAAAATAGACAAATTGGAAAAAGTCGGCTATGCGTTCAGTTCGGCCACTCTGGCCGTAAAGGGAGTTTAGAGTATTAAGATAAACTATTTTGGGACTATAGGTTTTGACCACCTCCCTTTGCTGATAAAATATTTTCAGTGTCCGGACTCTTCGACTGCAGCTGCCCACTCCACCTTAAAAGTTTCTATAAAATTGAAATGTTTTAAATTGCAGTGTTAAAATGACAGGACTGAGGCATGGCTAGGCGCTTGAGAGGAATGACAGCCATATGTACCAAACATATGGGCACAGCCCGCAAAACTGAAATGACCTCCCGTGACATTCAGGACACCAGGCAACCCACCTAGCTCTTTGATCAAGAGCTAACTCCACATGCCAGTGATTCTGGCCTCCCAACAAGACTTGCAGCATATGACACCATCTTCACTGGGCCCCACACTCTGATGACCCCACATACCTCAAACTTACCTGACCAGGACTGTTATTCACCTCACTACCTAAAAAAAAAAAAAAAAAAAAAGTTGTATACACACTGGTACAAAACACCAGATAAGATAGCAATGTACTCGCCAGACCAAGAAACAGAGTGTTGAGGGTTGCAAAAGAGAAATAGACACACTGATCCGCATTTGGTTGGAATGTCCCAAATCCAGCCTTTATCGCAGCACATCCACAATATATTCTCAGACATAACTGACAAAACTATTTTGTTTACACCAGAGGCGCATCTACTGCATTACTCTCAAATCCCAGTCAGAAAGTTCCGTAAATCGGTGCTTGCAGATCTAGTAAATGCTGCTCTTAGTCCAATTCTAACGTTCTGGAGACAGAGGTCCGCATCCATGGTCTGAGACTGGGTCACTAGAGTGGTGGAAATATGCTCAATAGAGCTTATTGTGTCCTGTTCAGACAACCTCCAGTAATATAACTGGTTTTACTGGACACATCAGCTGTCCTCAGGGAACATTACCTCGGTAACAAGGACACAGGAGCCCACATAGAGACACCTCCTCTAGATCAGCTGGGGGTGGGTGCGGGCTTAGGATAAACTATCAAGGTCCCCCCTTTCCCCAATTCTCCTCTCTCCCCACACAAGGCAAATGAAAGAGAGAAAGGAAAGGAGGGGAACCGGAAGGGAGAAAGCGTATTCTCCTTTTCTTCCTGACTCCCTCCAGTAACCATTTCATATCATAATTAATCAATAGAGGCACACTAGTCCAGTTTCTGTACTTATGTAGTTAGTTGTATATACTATATTTGTAATTTGATTGGTCACATATTTATGTCAACTGCACAATATGCAACTTTTTGTATTACTGTATAATTATGCTTCAATAAAGCGAGTAACAATAAATACAACAACCATTAAGAAAATAAAAAACAGGACCAGGACCACAGTATCCAGATCACTTTGTTGACATGAAGTGACCTGGGTGACAATGGTGTCCTTTAAATTTTAAATACATTTTCACATTAGAGAATAAACCTATATGGTTCCACCCCTAACCTATCAATCAACAATTACGGTACCGTTCCACCCCTAATCTATCAATCAATACGGTAACATTCCACCTCTAATCTTTCAATTAATTCTTTACAGTACATCACCACTGCTGTCAACTAGATAATATAGCTACAGACAAGAGTAAAAAATTAGACCAAATATTCAAAAATAAGATATAGATAGCTTATTTTAAATACAGCTTTACCAAACAAATAACTTAAAGGATCACTATAGAGTCAGGAACACAAACATGTATTCCTGACCATTTAGGTGGCTTGTCCCCCCCCCCCCCGAATGGGTTAAAACTCACCTTATTTTCAGCTCTCCATGGGTCCACCGGCGCCACCCCCTTGGTATAATCAAAATTGCAGATTTTTTGCCAATCCAAGGCTTTCCCATGGGGAGGCTGAACGGCAGGGCTGCTTACTGAGCCAGGAAGCACCTCCAGTGGCCATCTGAGGAGTGGCCACTTGGAGGTGTCCCTAGGGGCATTGTAAACACTGCCTTTTCTCTGAAAAGGCAGTGTTTACATTAAAATGCCTGAAGTGATCTATTACACTCACCAGAACAACTACATTAAGCTGTAGTTGTTCTGGTGACTATAGTGTCTCTTTAAAATAAACCCACATCCTGTATTTAAAACATTTTTGGGGGAGTTTCATCATAATCTGTGGGATCTATATGGATCATTGGTGTGATGCAAAAAAAAAAAAAAAAACAGGGCGCAAAAGTATTCTGAGAACGGGCAGCAGCTGAAATAGCCTGCCCTTCGGTGGGTCCCCGCTCAGAACTCAAGCTGGTTTTAGCTCATCTTGTGCCATTACAGAGAGAACATCTCTGAAACATATCAGACTGGTCCCACCCATACGGGCAGTCCAGATCCGAAATGCCAGCAAGTTCCCTCTGCACGAGAGACACAGCAACCCCAGACGATCGTTTCAGCCTTGATAGGCATCATCAGTGAGGCATAGCTGATATCTCTAGGTAGAGATTGGTGTGATAGCAGGGCTCGAGTCCTGCAGGAACGCATGGGAACGGCGTTCCTGCACTTTTTCCAAAGCAGGAACGCCGTTCCCGTTACCTGTCCTGCAGGACCGGCCCTGCTCCCTGCACAGAGGGGCCGTCACATGCTGTGTTCCCTCTCCAGCTATAACTCTCGCGAGACCCGCGGCTGTTACCATGGCAACGCTCCGCACAGGCGAGTCTCGCGAGAGTTAGAGCTGGAGAGGGAACACAGTGTGTGATGGCCCCTCTGTGCAGCGGCTGGCTCCCTCCAGCATACCACCGGACCACCAGGCGATCTCCCCCCTCCCTGACAAGGTAAGAAGCAGGGAGGGGGGAATAAAATAAAAAAAAAATATACATACACATAAAGTTAAAAAAAATGTCCCCCCCCCATCATCCAGCACTCACACACCCATCATCCAGCACACACACACCCATCATCCAGCACTCACACACCCATCATCCAGCACACACACACCCATCATCCAGCACACACACACCCATCATCCAGCACTCACACACCCATCATCCAGCACTCACACACACACCATCCAGCACTCACACACACATCATCCAGCACACACACACACATCATCCAGCACTCACACACACATCATCCAGCACTCACACACACATCATCCAGCACACACACACACTGCATTCATTATACACACTCTTCACTCACTACAAACACACTACATTCACTATACACCCTCTGCATTCACTATACACCCTCTGCATTCATTATAAACATTCTGCACGCACTACACACTACATTCACTATACACACTCTGCATTCACTACAAACACACTACATACACTGCATTCATTGTACACACTGCACTCACTACAAACACACTATATTTATTATACACACTGCACTCACTACAAATACACTACATTCATTATACACACTCTGCACTCACTAAAAACACACTGCATTCATTATACACACTCTGCACTCACTACGAATACACTACAATTATTATTCACACTGCACTCACTACAAACACACTACATTTATTATTCATACTCTGCATTCACTACAAACACACTACATTCATTATACACACCCTGCACTGCACTATATGCATAGGAGTGTAACTTTTTTTTTTAAGGGGGGGAGGGGGAAAGGCGGGAATCTTGGGTGAGTTCCCACACTTTTTTCCCCAGGACTTGACCCCTGTGTGATAGCAAATGAAAACAAGCACTATTAAATGTAACTAAAATTAGCAACCTAATGATCATTAGCAATAATCACAAGGTGGATGTGATGCAAATCCTAAAATCTCCAATACAGGATCTATTTGAACCCCACTAATTCTTTGCGTTTGCACTGGAACTCTTGTTGGCATTACAGTAAATTTTGCACATATATTTTGTAGCGTTGCATCATGGAATTAAAATGTTATTGAATATTTTTGTATTAACGATTTCACAAGCTTTGCGATGCTTAACCCCTTAAGGACCAAACTTCTGGAATAAAAGGGAATCGTGACATGTCATACATGTAATGTGTCCTTAAGGGGTTAAAGGACCACTATAGGAACCCAGACCACTTCTGGGTGCCAGGTCCCTCTAGGCTTAGCCCTGCTGTAAAAATTGCAGTTTCAGAGAAACTGCTATGTTTACATATGGGTTAATCCAGCCTCTAGTGGCTGTCTCATTGACAGGCGCTTCCGCGCTTCTCACTGATTTTTACAGTGAGAAGACGCTTGCGTCCATAGAAGAGCATTGAGAATGCTTTCCTATGGACGGACTGACTGCGCGCGCGGCTCTTGCCGCGCATGCGCAGTCATCCGATGATTACGTCCAAAGGAGGAGGAGAGTCCCCAGCGCCGAGGGAGCCCGGTGCTGGAGAAAGGTGCGTGTTTAACCCCTTCCTCCCCATAGAGCCGGCGGGAGGGGGGACCTATTAATACTATAGTACTTGTTTTCCTGGCACTATAGTGGTCCTTTAAATATAATGCACACTGAGTTAATACTATGAGTTCAGCCCGTCAGGGTTTCCTATTATTTGGCTTCTCATTATTTGTTTTAGAAGTAAATTATTCTACTATTATATTTTCATGTGTTCCTTGTATTAACATGTTAAATTAGGCAGTGTACAAATATATTAAATGTGGGAAACTCAGAGCAGTACAGCATATTGTATGATAAATTAATTCTAGAAGTAGAATAATGTATCATGTAGTGGTATTTATTTTCTTAAACTATATTTTAGTATACACACGCTATTCGGATAAATGCGACAGATTTGATCGAACTTTGAATTTTTTTTGCATTTCAGGTTCTCTCTCTGGGGATGATACAGGTAAGAGAATTTGTCTGCACTCACTCAAGTTTCCTATATGCACCTATAATACAATTTTTTTTAAAGGAACATTCCAAGAACCATAACCACAACAGTGTTTGTGTAGTGGTTATGGTTCCAAGAGTGCCATGGAACCCCCTCAGTGTAAGTAGACAAACTTTTTGCTAACGGTTTGACTTGTCTGTGGCTCAACAGGTCTGATGCCTGCCTTTTTGCAGTAAGCAGCTCTATACCAGATCGAAGCCTGGCAGTGCAGGAGTTATTTCATTGGTTGAGAGCAATCAGCTAATGCTCTCAGCCAGTGACCTGCCCCCTCCACTGCAGGGTTTAGCTCAAGATAGCCAATTAAAAGGTCCTAGCAGCAGTTCTTAATACCAAAAGAGGAGAGGCAAACACTAACTACTTACATATGAAGGACACCATAACAATAACTAGGGATCAACAAAAATAAAAAAACATTTCAGAGCCAATATCGATTATCGGTTGCCGTTCTGTACATTGTTTTTTAGTGATGCAATTTCTATACAAATCTGGCATCTACTGAACATGCTGACCGCAATCACACTGATATCCCAGCATCTACAGTGATTGCGGTCAGCACTATCACTCTGTTACCCAACCTAGTACATTACATTAGATTATTCACGGTCTCACCACTCTGCCTTCAGCTGAGCTCAGCTGGGACGTGAGGTCACAACATGGTGCTTCATTGGCTGGTGGCTAGAGTTTCTGGACGCATGGGGTGACTTGGAGAGATGAGTAAGTCATCGGTAATATCTGTAAATTACAAGGAAGATACCAATTATCAGTCACATGCTAAATATCGACTCTAATAAATGGCGGAACCGATAATCAATCTATCCATAACATTCTGTAGTAGTTATGGTGCTTGAAGTGTTCCTTTTAAGGCTCTTTATTGTGGAGGATTCACACGTTCATTGTATTTCATTTTTTTTTTTATTTTTTTTTTTCCCCAATCTAATTCAGAACAGCGTCCAGTTTTATTCCAAAATTTATCATTTAATTAAATATTTTTCCTTCCCCCCACCTCTCTGCTGGTCATGTTCAAGTTCTTTTCCACGTATTTAATTTTTAACACTCCTTGCATTCGCACAAGTTGCATTGATCCCTTGCCATCATGAACGTCTATTATATTATTTATATTAATGTTATACGTGTGATGTCATACCTTCCATGTCACCTTGCCTTGCACACTTGGATACTTTCAGATTACATCCAGCTGTAGCTTTCCTTTAACTGAAAACTTCAATATCTTCCTCTGTATTCATATCCCTGTTATAGGAGACAGCAAATATGTTGTGGAAATTTCAGGACGCACTGTCACCGTCAAATGCCCATCACACCTGTCTAAAGACGAGAATAAAGTAAAGTTTGCGAAAAAGGGAAGCGTAAAACCAGAACGTCAAGATAATAATCATCATTATATACTGGAAAACTACAATGAGACCAAGAATGGTGACTACGAGTGCTCTGATTCCAAAGGAAAAAATAAAGAATACTTGTACCTGAAGGCTTATGGTAAGAACCACCAGAGGGCTAGGGTGGTAATCAGTGGTGGAACTAATGTAGAGAGGGCCCTAATGCAAGACTTTTTAGGCCCCATCCAGTGCAAGGATGGCTTAAAGATAGATCTTTAACCATCAAGGAACTCTCACAATGCTTTGCCAGCCGAGATCTACCATTTTCTTATCCTTGCAGGTTGTATTTGTGAGCAGTGCATGTGTGTTTGAATGTAAGCATGTGTGTCTGAGTGTAGTGGTGTATTTGTATGTATTGTTGCCACTTGAATGTAGTAATGTTTGCATTTGTGTGTAGTGTTGGCGTTTTAATGTAAGTGTGCAGTTATGTGTAGTGTTGGCATTTGAATGCAGGGGTGTATTTGTGTTTCAATGCTTGGATGTATTGACATGTACACATACATTGCCACACAAATATACACACATGTACATACTGACACATGTACAGATATACATACAATCAGAAATCTTACCTTGAGGAGAAGTCCAACATGCAGAGTTTTGCAATTTAACACAAGCCAAAGAGACTCAAGGTAGAAATCTCCAAGGTTGTGAGACAGTGCACTGGGGCTGTAAAGACACAGTGCTTCCAGATCCGTAGTACAGGCAAGGATAATCCAAAAGAGTAGTCGTGGACGTAATCAAAAGTCAGGACAGGTGGAAGACAGGCAGAGATTCAAATCAGGAGTCAGACATACAGCGAGTTTCAGCAAAGAGCAACAAAACAATCTGACAGTGAGGCTGAACCAAGGCAGGGTTTAAATCGGTGGATAATAGCCATTTAATCTGGAAACCAAGAACAGGTGTGCAGCAGTCCAGGAGTAGAGACTCTGACATAACAGGATACAAGGATAAACAGGAAACAAAGATGCGTGGCGTTAAAGGTAAGGTCACTTACTGGGATGCAGAGGACCCAGGTTCAATGCCAGGCCCAAGAACACAAGTCCATCGCAGCAGGCATGATGAGGATCATGACACTGACACACACACAGGTGCATATACACCGATACAAACACATACTGACAAAGACACAGATAAAATGCCCATACTGACAATGATACACATTTACTGACACACATACTAACATCAATACATATTGTGACCTTCAGCAAAAATGTGTGTGTGAAAGACTTGATTTTACAGGGCCTGATACTTTACTTTTTTTTTAGATGAATAAGTTGTAACATTATTTGGAGAACATATATGTATAAGTAAACATTCACTGGGGATTAACACATGAGCATATCTTATCCACCATATTCCTTTTTGTTTTTGTTACCCTTGTAGTTTGTGAACACTGCAAGGAGATATCAGTTCCTGTGTTAGCTGGAGTCTTGATTGGAGATTGCATGGTGACTCTTGGAGTTGCCCTTGCAGTCTATTTTGGATGTAAGAAAAAAGCTGGACTTCCAAGAGATGGAGGACGAAAAAGAGGTATAAAGAGTGGACAGTAGATAAAAAAGGGGTTTTATGACCGAGATAAAGAAGGCTGATGAGTGATGCAAATATTTCCATACTGGCCGTGTTGGACTTAAAGAAACAGTCTAATTCAAATAAATACTTGTGTTATTTGCATGTGTTCCTTTTTTATTATTATTATTATTATTATTATTATTGGCATTTATACTGCAACAAACCTATTCCGCAGCGCTTTACAATGTTTGTAATTACAAAACATTGCAAGGACAATAGGTTGATGAGGACCCTCCTCAAAAGAACTTACAGTCTAGAGGAGATGTGAGGTAAAAACACAATAGGAAGGGCAGTGTGAGAAATAGCAACCAAGTAGCCTACCATTAAAAACTAATAATTAGAAATCACAAAACACACCTTTCAGCCCTAGGACAGTCGCTTAACTACAGCCTGATTCTCCATCTGTGAAGGCATTAATCCTAGTGGCTCTTGTCCAATCAAATCTTATAGAGAGGCACAGCAGATTCACTGGAGCTATATGTTTTGCAAAGTGCTAAATGTTGAAAGATGTTTTTTTGGTTTTTATGATGATTGCTCATTATTTAGCTCTTTGTCACACATCATTTTTTTTGTCTTGATAAATCCTCCCCTATAATGTTCAAATAAACCAGGGAATGTGATTCTTTTCTAATTTTCTTCCTTTCTTCTGCAGTCGAAAACAAGGAACGCCCTCCACCTGTTCCTAACCCAGACTATGAGGTAAGAAGCTCAAGAAATCGCGATTATAAAATGTTAAAGGGTAATTATGTCTTCTACTATAGTGATATCTCAGTAAACTATACTGCAGCACTTACTGCGGTATGGATTGCAGTGAAGGTAAATACTAAATGCAGCATTACCATATCCAGTGTGACATCATTGCTCCTAGTGTGCTGACAAAAATGCTATACAACAGCATGTACTGGAAGGAATTGCTTCTAAAATACCTAGGAGTGCATGTGACCTCACCGTGTCCATGAACAAGGTAATGTGAAAATGACGGGACTGCTATATAGAAACATAGAATGTGACGGCAGATAAGAACCATTCGGCCCATCTAGTCTGCCCAATATTTCAAAATACTTTTAATTAGTCCCTGGCCTTATCTTAAGTTTAGGATAGCCTTATGCCTATCCCACGCATGCTTAAACTCCTTTACTGTGTTAACCTCTACCACTTCAGCTGGAAGGCTATTCCATGCATCCACTACCCTCTCAGTAAAGTAATAATTCCTGAAATTATTTTTAAACCTTTGCCCCTCTAATGTAAGACTATGTCCTCTTGTTCTGGTAGTTCTCCTTCTTTTAAATATAGTCTCCTCCTTTACTGTGTTGATTCCAGTTTTGTATTTAAATGTTTCTATCATATCCCCCCGTCTCGTCTTTCCTCCAAGCTATATATATATATATTAAGATCCTTTATCCTTTCCTTGTAAGTTTTATCCTGCAATCCATGAACCAGTTTAGTAGCCCTTCTCTGAACTCTCTCTAAAGTATCAAGATACGGTCTCCAGTACCGCATATAATACTCCAAGTGAGGTCTCACCAGTGTTCTGTACAATGGCATGAGCACTTCCCTCTTTCTACTGCTAATACCTCTCCCCATGCAACCAAGAATTCTGCTGTCATTTCCTGCTGCTCTATTACATTGTCTTCCTACCTTTAAGTCATCTGAAATAATTACTCCTAAATCCCTTTCCTCAGATGTTGAGGTTAGTAGGCAGGGGCGTATTAGCCGCGAGGCAAACAAGGCATTTGCCTTGGGCGGCATTTTTCAGGGGGCGGCAAAAAACGCCGCCCCCCAAATGCCCAAGGCAAATGTCTTGTTAGCCTCGCGGCTAACAGACATTCTGGGCGCTGGGCGGCAGTGGCTGCAGCGCTGGGCGGGCGGGCGGCCGCTAGGGAGCTCTTCCCCTGAGCGCTCTGCTCAGCTCCCTCGCGCGCGCCAGCAGAGTGAGGCTGGGAGCCGGGTTGATGACGTCATATTCCGGCTCCCAGCCTCACTCTGCTGGCGGCGCGCGAGGGAGCTGAGCAGAGCGCTCAGGGGAAGAGCTCCCTCGCGGCCGCCCGCCCGCCCAGCGCTGCAGCCACTGGACCCCAGGGAGAGGAAGAACCCCCCCCAGCATTACCAAAGGTAAGGAGGCTGGGGGGGGGGGTTAAATAAAAAATAAAATAAAAAAACACTAGTGTGTGTGTGTGGATGTCTGTTAGTGTGTGTGTCTGTTAGTGTGTGTGTATGTTAGTGTTAGTGTGTGTATGTTAGTGTTAGTGTGTATGTTAATGTTAGTGTATGTATGTTAGTGTGTGTGTGTGTCTGTTAGTGTGGATGTCTGTTAGTGTGGATGTCTGTTAGTGTGGATGTCTGTTAGTGTGGATGTCTGTTAGTGTGGATGTTAGTGTGTATGTTAGTGTTAGTGTGTGTATGTTAATGTTAGTGTATGTATGTTAATGTTAGTGTATGTATGTTAGTGTGTGTGTGTCTGTTAGTGTGGATGTCTGTTAGTGTGTGTGTTTGCCTGTGAGTGTGTGTCTGTTAGTGAGTGTGTGTTTCTGTTAGCTAGTGAATGCGTATCTGTCAGTGAATGTGTGTGTGTGTATTTAGAAGGCGGAGCAGGGGGGAAGGTTGTGTGGCGGTTGCGCAGGTGGGGGTGGCGCGGGGGGGTGCCTGAGTTTTGTCCTGCCTAGGGCAGCACAAAATCAGGATACACCACTGTTAGTAGGGTATCAAATATTCTATACTCTGCCCTTGGGTTTTTACGTCCAAGGTGCTTTATCTTGCACTTATCCACATTAAACGTCAGTTGCCACAGCTCTGACCATTTTTCAAATTTGATAGAATTTTTATATTTAGTATATGACATACTTACATTCATATACAAATACACACACATTCATATTTACACATATTTGCATTCACATACACAGATTCATATACACACAGACACGTACATACAAAAACACATTGATACATACACACAGTTTGATTCATACATAAACACACACACGTAAACACACAGACACGTATACTCATACACACAAATTAACATACATACAAGCAGACTCAGACACATATAAGTAAACATACATCTATATGCACACACAGGCTTACACACACATACTCATACACACACATTCATATAAACACAAATTGGTATATGCACACAGGCTCATACACACACATTCATATACGCACATAAACTCATACACAATAGTTTATATATGTCCTGATGAAAGCTCCACAGAGGAGCTGAAACGTTGACTGATTCATGGAATAAAAAGATCTATACATTGAAATCCTTGGAGTGCCGGTATTTTCATTCTTTTCTATACTTATGCACCAGGTACCCTACATTAATATAAGTTGGAGTGCAAGAGCTATTAGAATATATATATATATATATATATATATATATATATATATATTTATTGTATTTTACTTATTGTTAGGTCCTCCCTTTTCTTACTTTGCACAGGTCGGGGGGAGTGGAACCTCATGCTTGGTGTCCAGTGCTTTGTTGCTGGAATCTTAGATCACTGATTGCCCAGCTCCCAGCAGCTTTTATAACACAGAGCCACAGAACAGCCACCGACCACGCAGCACCCCAACCAGCAATGCATGCGCGGATCGACAGGTGCTTGCTCTGGCTGGAGGTCTCTGGCTCTGTGCAGTCTCATGCTTCCTGTCACCCATGGCGGACCCCCCTGCTTAGTACACTTTGGTGGCTAAGCAATATTATAGAAGTGAAAGTGGCATGCACAATAATGCCACAATGTAGCTTTACTGTTACCTACTTGCATTATGGTAGAAAAGATAAAGTTATGAAATATGTTTGTCAGATGCCACAAAATGCTTTTGAGACTAAGCATGTGTACAGAACACAAATAATTCGCAATCAGAAAGTGTATTTTTGGGCAACAAAATGTTTAAACTTTTGGTTATTATAGAAAAAATGAATGTATTAAGCAATGTAACAATGCCCTTAAAAATTACATCACCATCAGAAATAAGTACCAGATTGCATAGATTTAAAAGTCAGTCTTGCATAAAAGATTATTTAATGGTAGATGTTTAAAAGATAAATTGTTGTCGTTGCCCCATAAGTGATTACTGACACTTTTTTCCTTTATCTCCACAGCCAATCAGGAAAGGAAATCAAGATGTGTACAATGGACTAGAGCGCAATTTCAAATAACAGATTTTGAAAGATTGCTGCATATTTTTTTCTTCTTCTTATGCTATATTTGTCTGTTTCCTGCTTGTATAAACTGTAACATAGTCAGCAGGGCTGCCATCAGGGGGTGACAACCATGATGGTTGTCACGGGCCCAGCGATCCTGGGGGGCCCGGACTGCTCTGGCAGTCCCAGGCCCCACTTTCCCTCTCTGCACACATAGATAGCGAATATCGCTATCTATATGTGCAGCCGCGGGCCCCCGGCTCCCTATTACCGCAAAGGGGGCCCAGCACACTGTCTCTACTCTTCTCTTTGTCTCTCTTCTAATAACTCTCGCGAGACCCGCGGCCTTCTGAGTGTTGCCATGGCAATGCTTCGCGCGGCACACAGGACGCGAGTCTCGTGAGAGTAATTGGAAGAGAGGAGAAGAGAAGAGTAGAGACAGTTTGCTGGGCCCCCTCTGTGGTAACATGCCACCGGACCACCAGGGAATGAATCTCCCCCTTCCCTTGACACAGGTAAGAAGCAGGGAGGGGGGAGAAACATTTAATGAAATGTAATGTAAAATTACTGTGAAAATGCCCCTTCTTCCCCCCTCACCCCCCAGATTGCACATTTACACACACACTGCATACACTAACACAACACACATACACTGCATACACTAACACACACACTGCATACACTAACACAACACACATACACTGCATACACTAACACCACACACACACACTGCATACACCAATACAACAAACACTCTGCAATCACTACACATTAACACACTCTGCATTCAACACATTAACACACACTCTGCATCCGCTACACACTCTCTGCATTCACTACACTAACACACTCTGCATCAGCTACACACTAACACACTCTCTGCATTCACTACACATTAACACTCTGCATTCACTACACCAACACACACTCTGCATTCACTATACTGACGCACACTCTGCATTTACTATACTGACACACACTCTGCATTCACTACACTAACATACACTCTGCATTAACTGTACACACAGCATCTACAAACATCCTGTATTCACAGTACACACACTACATCCACCACAAATTTAAACACTCTGCATTCACTATACACAGACACTGTGTCTAATACACACTCTACATCCACTACAGACACTGCATCCACTAAACACATTTCATATAGTACACACAAACACTACATCCACTACACAAACACACACTACATCACTGAACACACACTACATCCACTACTCAAACACACTCTGCGTTCACTATACACACTGCATCCGCTACACAAACACACACTCTGCATTCACTGCACAAAGAGTATCTAATACACACATTCTAATTCACTTCCACTATACACACCACATTAAATTCTGCATCATTGTCAGTGGACTAGGTAGGGCGTGGGCAGGCCAGGGGGGAAGAGGGAGGGGTGGGGGTCCAGACCTTGTGCTTTGTCAGGGGCCCCAAAATTTCTCATGGCGGCCCTGATAGTCAGAGTCACAATAGTAAAATGATATTCAGAATAATAATATTCTACATAATAGGTAAATGTCACCTGCTTTTGTCTACATAGTTGCTGTATACAATATTCAAAGTGCAATGTTTAGATGGGAAATTTAAAAAAAAAAATTATGTGTTGGATATTCAATAGTAATCTTCAGTAATGTTTAATCTTCAGTAATCAGGATCGAGTAAACATGGTATAGTTATCAGTATGGCATGAAGATATCAGACAAGAAGTTGGAGAAGACCTCTTGGCTATAGTGATAGATTGAAAACAGAGGATTTTGTTTTATTTAGAGTTTCTGATGGCAAAATGCATATACTTATTAGTGTCTTTGGGATAAAACTCCTGACAGATATAATCTCAGAGAGATTAAGGTTTCATTCATGCAATTTACAGTGTTTCCATTTTGATTTTTCTGTATTTTCTTTATTTTGGTATATTAAAGTTTGTATCATGTATCTTTGCATGCTGCACTGATTCTTAACCCAGTTCTCATGGAACACTAGACAACAGTCTAGAATTTAGCTTTTTCCCATTTCTGATCGAGATGTTTGAACATCAAAATTGCAATTCATTAGGGATGTGCATGGGAAAAATATTCGGTTCGGTTCGGCATTCCGAAATTCGAAACTTCGGCACTTTGGTTTGGCATTCCAAAATTCGGGACTTCTTGACTAGGGTAAGTGTAGGTTTGGGGTAGGGTTAAGTTAGGGTTAGGTTAGGGTAGGATTAGGGGTAAGTTAGGCATAGGGTTAGGTTAAGGGTTGGTTTAGGGTTAGCATAGGGGTAGGGTTAGGAATAGGGTTAGGGTTACCCTAACCTTACTCCAGCCACTAACCCTATCCTAACCCCAACTCTTTCTTGTTTTGCCACTTTTCAGAAATCCAAAGCACCTCAGAAATTAGGCACTTTGGTTCGTCATTCAGAACTTCAGCACTTCGGACAGAATGTCCGAATTTCCAAATTCGGCCGACTATGCATTCGGAACGAAACGAATTGCACATGTCTACAATTCATGCATGACCACATGTGGTAGTTCAAGCACATTGTAATCACTGGTCTGGATCTGTGCAAAATGACCAACATGGGTATAAAATGGTCACCATGAGCAATGACTGAGATGACTACTTTAAACAAACACTTCAGCTCCATAATGACTGCAGCCCACTGTAGTGTTATTGTGCAAGAAGTGCCCTGGGTCCGTCCCATTGTAATCTCTCAAACCATTGCAGCATGGTTTGACATCAGCATTCAATGGGCAAACATGCTGCTGTCTTTCTGTGGTCTACTCTAAGAAGGAGAAGAAAAATGTCAGTTTTGTTCAATACTGGAACTCATTAATTTCCTGAGTGCCCAACTGATGATCTCAGCCAATAAATGAACCTCTATATTTTGGAATAGGAATTAGTAGAGAGAGATTTAAAGAGGCTATAAATGTTACATTTGTTTCACCTAGAGAAAAGGCAGAGGTACCTGATCACGTTGTACAGATTTGTAGGAATATGCTACGAAAATCTAGTGTTTAATTTGTTTATTAAACTAGACATGACTCATGGGGATTTTACTAACTGCAACAAAAAAGAGTTCTTGACAGAAAGAACAATAAGAAAATAATATTGAATTGTGATCTCATGCAAAGTATAAGTAGCAACATGTAATTAAAAATAATCAACGTGAGTGCCTTATCTTATCTCAATTAGTCTGATTATTGCCCTAAGCACAGTACCACACATGATTACACTCAGTATTTTAAGACAGAAATAAACAAAACATCATCTGCTGGTCTGCCTCTACAGAATTATTTAGCCAAAGCAATAAAATGGGATCGTCTATAGGTACACTGTGGGTAGCTCTCACCCACATAATTCTTGCAACAATAATAGAAAATACAATATAGGCAGTGCAAAAGGATACTGCCTTATTCCTGAGTGGGAATGGAAGAGTTCCAATAAAAGTGTAAGCAAAGTCTTTAGAAAAAAATGGTGTTGAGGGCTGTTTGGGAGTTGGAGAGGAGCAAGTCAAGATTAATGGTGGGAAGGGGTAATGATTGATGGTGCTGGGAGATGGAAGAGGATAATATCTGCAAAATGTTAGTTAAAGAGGGAGGGTTTGATGCCTAATGGTGGTTGGGAGAAAGAGGGGATGATGCCTAATGGTGGTGAGAGAAGGAGAGGGTAAAGGCTAATGGTAGAAGGAGAAGGTGATTATTAATTGTTTTGGAAGTGAATGATGGCTAATGGTAGTGGGAAGGAAGTTATTAATGGTTTTGGGAAATGGTAAGATAATGCCTAATGGAGGTGCAAAATGACTGGTGATACATAATGGTACTGTAGTGCCAGGAATACAAAGTTGTATTCCTGGCACTATCGATTCCCTCTGCCTTTCCCCCCCCCCTCGTGCCCCCCTCCCCGGTGGGCGATGCATAATGGTGGTGGGATTGGAAGAGTTAATGCCTGATGGTGGGTGTGATCAAGGGGATAATATCTACAAAATGGTAGTTTGAGTGGGAGGGAAAATGCCTAATGGTAGTGGGAGAAGAAGGGGAGGATGCTTAATATTCCATCATGAAGTTGTGTCCTTAAGGGGTTAATGGTGATGGGAGAGGAAAGGGAGAAGGCTAAAATGGTGGAAGAAGGTGATTATTAAAATTGCGGAAGAGGGTGATGACTAGTGATGTCGCGAACCGTTCGCGAACTTGCCGCTAACAGTTCGTGGCGAACTCCGGTCAGCTGACACATCCCTGCCAATCTCCGGCAGACCCTCCCTCCCAGACCCTCCTACTTCCTGGACAGCATCCATGTTGAAGGCAAGTTCGCGAACGGTTCGCGACATCACTAGTGATGACTAATGGTAGTGAGAAGGGCTATGGTTAAGGGGAGTTTGATGCTTAGTGGAGGTGTGTAGATGGATGACGCTTAATGGTGGTGTAAAATTAAGTGATGTACAATGGTTGTCTAATTGTGACAGAAATAGTGATGCCCAAGGGTGACTTGAGAGGGAGAGACTAAAGGCAGTCAAAAGGTGGTTGGAGAGGGAGTGATCTAAAGCCTATGGTGGTCAGAGAGGACAAAAACGGTTTTGATCTTGTAATTCACATCTCAAATGAAGTCTTGTAACTTACAAAGCAACATAATAAATGTATGTGTGTGTGTGTATATATATATATATATATAGCTCAAAATTTCTACACACCATGAGCCAATGGCAAGTAAAAATTTTGCACTGGCTAGAAATTCACCCGGTGAATATCTTTTACTATCCAGGCTTGCAGCAGCTAGTAGCATATTCCATATACATGGACCAAAAACAGAGAATGAGAACTCTGAGAACAGGCACAAGCTTAGAGAAACTCAAAAACTCACATGGAAGGGCAGCAGTGGAGGGGGGGTGGGCAGACACATGTAGAGCCTGGGGGGCGGAAGGATACTTGGGAGGAGAATGAGACATGTGGAGGGCTGGGTGGGAGGAAAAATTACACTTGGGGAGATATGAGACTCATGGAGGGGCTTGAGGGGAAATGAGATACATGGAGGGGCTTGAGGGGAAATGAGACACATGGAGAGGTTGAGGGAGGGAGAATGAGACACATTGAGGGGCGGTGGGGGCCCCAGGGCAATTTTCACACTGGGGTCCCGTGGTTTCTAAGTAAGATTCCACTAGGGGCTATACACATGGAGCATTGGTGTACTTAGGGTTTGTAATGACAAAATGTTTTCCTTTTGTAACTAATTTCGAAACTTAGCTTAAAAATTCAGTAGAAAACCAGTTAGTCAGTTGTCGCTCTTTAGATTATTTTCTGTTATTTTTTATTGTCCTTTTGTGTACTTTGCTCCTTTAAATTTGGTTTCCCTTCTTTTTTTCTTTCTCCCTCTGCTACCACCCTCCCCCCTATTTTATCCTTTTATCTGTTCTTTCCTTCTCATCCTTTCATGTTTGTTTTCTGTTAGGTAACAGGTGGGGGTTTCCGCTGCTCTCAAAAACACCACAGGATTTCCGTTATTTTTACGCATTTAATCAGAGCAAAGCAGAATACAGGTTGAGTTTCCATAATGGGTGCCATTTAAGATACACAAGACAAAAAACAGCAGCTCAGCAAATTCGCATCTTTGCATTTTTCCATTCTGTAAAATAAACTTATTTTCTGTTGTTCAGCTGGCTGTACGCCGATTCTTGTCTGTTATGCAGCTTCTGAAAAAGTAAATAAGTGCAAGAGATGTAAAACTGTGATGCTCATAGCAACATAAAAAGCCTAACACATTATTTGTGCAAAGAAAACATACTCCAATTGAAAATATGATATAATTAAATTTTAAAAAAAGTCAAATACATAAAGTAAACATGTTCTTTTAAAGCTCAGTGCAAAAGTTCATTTTAATTTATGCATACATATAATTTATATATTATATACTTCCCTAATGATATTCGCTATACTTCCTGCAATGGTTACTTTGCATCTTTGCACCAAGACCACTTCATCTCATTGAAGTGGTCTGGGTGCAGTGTCCCACTCCAGTTAACCCTGCAATGTAAAAGCCAATGCCCGCAAGGGACAGGTTCAGGTAAGTAAAGTTACTTTTACCTGTCCCCTAGCCACCGGACCCCTGTCGCCATTAACTGGTCTTTGCGAATTCAGCAAAGTTCCAAGACGGTAACAGTGCCGCTTTAACTTTTTACATAAGCTCGCCCTCAATATATAGCATATTGTCTCTAGGAATACTTCTAGAAATAAATACAGTTGGGCTTTAATAATACTTCTCTGCCCTGTAACGTGCCCTTTTATGATTGTTTCTTATTAAAGTGGCAGGATGGTGATCTAATTAAGCTGAAACCATTCAGAATGTTAACATTCTGATAACTTATGCAAAAAAAAAATGTTTAAAGGGATACTGTAGTGCCAGGAATACAAAGTTGTATTCCTGGCACTATCGATTCCCTCTGCCTTCCCTGTCTATGTATGACTGTGTCCATATGTCTTTGTATGCCTTATTCTGACTGTATACATGCGTCAGTATGTCTCTGTATGACTGCGTCTATATCTGTGTTTGTATGTCTCTATTTGACTGTGTCTGTATGTCCCTGTATGACAATATATGTATGTCTCTGTATGATAGTGCCTGTATGTCTCTGTAAGACTGTATGCCTGTGTTTGTATGTTCCTGTATGTACAGATTGTATGACTGTGTGCCTGTATGACTGTGTTTGTTTGATTGTATGCCTTTTATAACTGTTTGTCTGTATATCTTTGTTACTGTGTGCCTGAATAATTGTTTCTGGTTGCCTATATCTTTGAGTCTTTGTACATGTATGTATTTTTGCCTGTATATTTATGTCTGTATGCCTTGAGAGGAAAGAGACACACAAAGGGGTACGGGGGGAGAAAGAGATACACAAGGGGGGTTGTAAGGACACACAAGGAGGTGTAAGACATAGAAAAGGGGGGGTAAAATACTCTAAAAGGGTGTAAGACCAAAAGTGGCAAAAGAGGGTGTGGCAAACCCCACTAAAAGTACTGAAAGGACTATAACACTTCCTGGCTTTCTGTTCTCCCTCCCCTCTATAAAAGCCCAGCAGGCACATATCTCCTGTCTATTCATGCACTATTTCTGAACGAGTCAGCAGGACTTTTAGGAGTTCACCCTGGAACAACAGCTTGGCCACACAGACCACCTTGTCCCGGTTAACTTGGCATTCAATTTTTACCCTTTTCCCAATACCCCAGGAGAGCACTTTTTGGAGGAGAGCTACTAGGTGGAGGGAGGAACAATCGCGACCTATGAGCCAGGGGGAGCACCCCTTTCACAACCATCCAGAGACCCTGTTAAAAGACCGGCTAATACCTTTAAACACCTGGATCTTTTTTGGCAGGAAACCACGCCAGCGGTTGGTCTAAACTTTAACGGGGTGACATTTCTACAAAACCCACGGATCAGAGCACTATTTGAACAGCATGTGCGCTCCATTAAGAGCTATCTGGGGATATAAAACTTTTGGGGGTTCATAATGGTCTTCTATGTGTTTTCGGGATTTTACTATGTTCGGCTCTCTTTATCCAGGAGATAATTAACTTACCAATCCTTGACTCAATTATCTCCCAGACACAGAGACGCCTGGTTGGGATCACTGTATAAGAGAATGGAGACTCTATGCTGGGGTCTCACTATCAATTTTAGCTCAAATTAACTAAACAACCAGGAAGTAACAGGATCAGTTGGACCAATTTCTATTGAATTCTGCACTTTTTGTAAAATGAAAAAACAGGACACACAAGTGATTTAGCTGTCTGGAAGGTCCTTTCCACTGTTAAATGCTCATGTGAGCAGTTGAGAATGTTCTGTTATACTTGCATGTTTGCCCATTTTATACAGTTTTATACAGGAAAGTTTTAAGATACGTTTCCACAGGATCGTCTCTATTCATGTAGAGATTCTGACTATGACACACAAGTAAGAAAAAAATAAATAAATATATATATATATATATATATATATATATATATATATCTTATTAGTATAATATAAGAGAGTCAACTCTAATTTATATGAACTGCATTATCTGCCCATAACCTTCTGGCCCTGAGATAGGAGAAATTTTAAAAATCCCTTTTCTCTCATACTCTTGCAGAGGTAGGGGTTATGGGAACTTAGAAGGGATGTGGGGGAACAAACCTAAACTTAAAGGGAACCTATAGTCACCAGTACAACTATAGCTTAATGTAGTTGTTATGGTGTCTATAGTCAGTCCATGCAGACTTTTTGTTGTAAACACTGCCTTTTCTCTGACATTGCAGCCTAGGAAGACCTCCAGTGGCCACTCCTCAGATGGCTACTAGAGGTGCTTCCTGGGGAAGTGCTGGATGGTATACAGCACTGCCATTCAGTGTCTCCACTCTCAAAGAGAAGCATTGATTCATGAAACATAGAAGCATAGAATGTGACAGCGGATGAGAACCATTCGGCCCATCTAGTCTGCCCAATTTTCTAAATACTTTCATTAGTCCCTGGCCTTATCTTATAGCTAGGAGAGCCTTATACCTATCCCACGTATGCTTAAACTCCTTTACTGTGTTAGCCTCTACCACTTCAGCAGGAAGGCTATTCCATGCATCCACAGTAAAGTAATACTTCCTGATATTATTTTTAATATTGCTAGCATTTTCTTCTGCTCTATTACATTGTCTGCCTACCTTTAAGTCATCTGAAATAATTACCCCTGAATCCCTGACTATCAAATATTCTGTACTCTGCCCTTGGGTTTTTACGTCCAAGATGCATTATCTTGCACTTATCCACGTTAAACGTCAGTTGCCACATTGAGGAGATGCTGATTGGCCAGGGGTGTTTGGATCCGCCCCCCGCCCTGCCTCCTTGGCAGAGATAATCAGAATTGATGATGGGAAAGCATTGTGATTGGTCAAAATCATCACTTCTGATGATGTCAGCAAGGGAGGTGGATTGAGGGCAGAAAATATAGTATATTGCTTCCAAAATATAGTAAGATCTTACGTTATTTCATTACATTTCTTGCTAAACTCCTCATAGAAATGTAATGAAATAACATAAGATCTTACTATATTTTCGGAAGCAAGTAAGGGTCTGGAGAACTAGATAGTGATTTTAACACTATAGGGTCAGAAATACATGTTTGTGTTCCGGATCCTATAGTGTTCCTTTAATGATGGCTTGTGCACTAGCCAAATGCTCCTGCTGCTTCTATCTCTCTAATAGCCCAACATCCTCCTGACAGCAGGTAGGAAGGTGGAATTTTACAAGTGTTCTGCCACCCACTACATCAATCTCTTTCTCTATCCCAGGCTGAACACCAGGAGCTTCGGCCTGTTAGTAAGAAGGGAAGGAGAGGAGTAGACAAGTGAGTGCTGAGAAGAGAAGAACTTGGAGTTTGTAAGCAGAGAGATAGAGGAGTTGAGAGCTGTGGGCATTGTAAAATGGGCGACAATAGATTGGATTTAAAGATGAGAGGGTATGTGTATACATAAAGGTAACTTGCACCTCACTATCCGGCTATAAGAACAGTACAAGGAACCCAATATAGCATTACTTCAGCAAGGAAACACCTATATGCGTCAGCTTGGCTTGCAAGAGCCCAGTACTAACAACACTGCATGTCACCCCATATGCAAGATGCATCACTAATATGCCCCTTGTACCACTCATTGTACTCTTCATATACAGATTTCATGGGGACAAAATTTAGAAGGGATGAGATTAACTCTGGTATCCCAGGAAAGCAGCATACCCGAAATAACCTAGGTCAGGCGGACGTTTGGACACTTGGAGATTATGGCTGCTTTACAATTTTCATCCTGCAGTCTTCTGTTCGATCCATCATAGTTATCAGAACCAGTCCCAGTAGGTTCATAATCCAACACTGCTTTAGACGAATGTGATGTTATCAGGGCCACCATCAGGGCATGACAACCACAACGGTTGTCATGGGCCCGGCGGTCCTGGGGGGCCCGGACTGCTAAGGTCGTCCGGGCCCCACATTCAGTAGGTACATACCGGGTCGCAGGGGGTCCTGCGACCCCGGTATGTACCCACTGGGCCAGCCTCTTCTCCTGGGGGGCCCAGCAGTCGGCCACCTCAGGGCCCCCCAGAGGCTGGCCCTGACACCGGGCGGGTGCGCGATGGAGCACTCTCTGTGTGCTTCCTCTTCAGCTCCCTCGCGCGCCGCGTACTGATGCCGGTGTTCTAGGGTTTTCTAACGGGGTAGGGAAATTTGATAGAGCCAATAGAGAGTGCTCCCTCGCGCGCGCGCCCGTCCGCCGTCAGCCGTCGGGGGGGGGGGAGGAGGAATGAAATTTGAGGGAGGGAGTAAAGGAAATGAAATGGGGAATGAAATGGAGGGAAAGGAAATGAAATGGGGAATGAAAACAAGAGGGGAAAAGGAATGAAATGGGATGGGGAAAGGAAATGAAATGGAATGAAACTGAGGGAAATGAAATGGGGAGGGGGGAATGCGAATGAAATGGGAGGGGGGGGAAAGGAAATGAAATGGGATGGGGAAGAATGAAATGGGGAAGGAACAAAATGGGGAAAGGTATGAAAATGGAGGGAAGGAATGAAATGGGGAAAGGAATGAAATGGGGAAGGAAATGCACGGGAGGGGGAAATGAAATGGGAGGGGGGGAAATGAAATGAAAACGGGAGGGGGAATGAAATGAAATGGGAGTGGGGGAGGAACTAAATGGGAGAGGGAGGAAGCATCTTGAAATGGGAGGGAGGGGCAGGAATGAAATTTGAGGGAGGGGTGAGAGGAAGGAAATTTGAGGGAGGGAGAGAGGAAGGAAATTTGAGGACGGGGAGAGGAAGGAAATTTGAGGGACGGGGGGAGAGGAAGGAAATTTGAGGGACGGGGGAGAGGAAGGAAATTGGAGGGGAGAAGGAAGGAAATTGGAGGGGGGAGAAGGAAATGAGAGGGAGGGGGAGAAGAAGGAAATTGGAGGGGGGGAAGAAGGAAATTGGAGAGGGAGGGGGAGAAGAAGGAAATTGGAGGGGGGGGGGAGAAGGAAATTGACGGGGAGGAGGGGGAGAAATTGACATCCATCACACACAATGCACCCCTTGCACACAGAAAAACACACAATGCATTACACACAGACACACGTACACAAGCAATGCATCCCTTACACACAGCAACACACAATGCACCCCTTACACACACTCAATGCAGCCCTTACACATACAAACACAGATTCACACAATGCATTCCTTACACACATCAGGACATCCCACCCACACACACTCCACTCCCTGTGAACAAACTCATTGGTGGAACATGAAGGTGGACCCTGGGACCCAGACCTTGAGCTGTGTAAAGGGCCCTCAAAAAAATGGAGCTGCTTCCCGGTCTCCCAGAACATTGATTTTTGTGACCACAGTTACAAACCGCCTCCAGAGAGCCTGTTGTACACCAGACCAGTGGAGCCAGACGGCAGCTAGAGCCCATCATCATCCTCATCTGGTTGTAAGTAGGCAATCTAGTATATTATTCGTGTCACTAATCTCTAATTTACCTCACATTAAAGGGACACTATAGTCCCCAGAACCACTGCAACCATGCAGGCCTTTTAATGTAAACACGGCGGCACTGCAGCACTGGTGTTAGTTAACATGGCAGATCATATGGGTGGGGCATTGTGAGGTCACATGGGGGGGCGGCGAACTTTACTTTTGCCTATGGTGGCAAAAATCCTTGCACCGGCCCTGCAGACACTGCATCCCTGTGGGCGGATTCGGGGGGGGGGCAGCACTTTGGGCGGACTCGGGTGCAGGCACCAGGGGGCCCAGACCTTGAGCTGTGTCAGGGGCCCCAACATTTCTGATGGCAGCCCTGGATGTTATCATAGAATTCTGCTGTTTATTGACTATTGTAGTTATTTGCCTATATTGTTTTGTCTTTAATTTCTTTTTATGCTGGCAAGTTTTTTTCCCTTACCTGATACGGGTCCTCATTTTGGATCAGCATTTGTTTGTCAGATGCTGCAAAAAAAAAAAACGAAACTTGATCAGACACAGTTATTAATCATGGGGAAATTACAGCAGCTGCTGCAATATAGTATACCAAAGAAATGCAATCCATTTGTAATATAGTACACACATGTTCACTTCACACACACAATATCAGTGCATGCATGACAGTCATGTAACATGCTTAAACATTTTTTCCAATATATGTTCATATTGTCAGTTTTAGCACATATCCCAAAAAATGTTTTATAACACTGATGGCTACCCTTTGGCACTGGTCTTGACAACTGGATTGCTGAGCATTATAAGAAATGTAATCCACAGTAACTTTATTACCTAAATATACCACTAGGCCCAGATTGACCATCGGGCAAATGTCTGAAGAGACATGATGGCTGAGACATATGCCAAGGCAGACTGGGGACATAAAATGATCTTCAACCAGCCCATAAAGGGTTGATGCTACTGGAGCGCCAGTCCAAACAGGGCACTGTAGCCCTTCATGGACTGGTGCGAAGATCAAATACTTCCTGACTGGCCTGGCCAGTGCACTCTAATCCTGGGTCATCAGGAGGTTGTAGTACACGTGAACTGCTCCTACACTGCATGCTCTAACCTCAACATAAGTGTTCTAAACGTGGCAGAGGCACAGACCATAATTATCTGCCCACCGGACTAACAGTGTCAGCATTCATCAAGTATTCATCAAAAACAATACTCCTGAATTAAAAAAATATAATTAACTTTAATTAAACATAACTTTAAAAATATTATATGATAAAATGTAATGACAGTTGTCCTTTGATAATTTTTTAACTCCCCCAGACCACACATACCAACTCTAAACAATCCCCCCCCCCCACACACACACACAAACTACAAAAAATCCATATCCACACGTCCACTGCTGACAAAGAGACCCTCTCAACACAGACTCAGAAACATATACCTACTATAAACAGGTGTGATTCCCAAACATAAACTAAATGCAGTCCCTATCCACACACACCTACACAAACAGGCCCTATCCACACTCACTTCAAACAGCCCCTAGACAAACACACACCTTCTACAAACAGACTCTCTAGATAGAAACATACATGCATACACACACACACACAATACATACAGTCCCTATCCACACACACATAGCACACCACAAACAGCCCATAACCACACACAGACAAACACACTACAAATTAGCCAGTAACCCACACACATTACAAACAGCCCCACACTGGAAACAACCCCTGGCCCCTCTAACGTACACACACAGTATGTATCATTTAAATATCCAGGCCAAATGTTTGTCCCAGTCCAGCACTGTACAACATTCCACATCATCTTTCTGTACTAACATAGAACAGGCTTTAGTAAGCCCAAACTATCACAACATGTCATGTCCATAAATATAATTTTAAAACATAAATATTATACAATTTTACAACACATCACAAAAAAACACTCAATGGAAGGGATTTATCAAAGCAAACATCTGGTTCTACTCTGCTAAATAATAACAATATGGAAACCAAAAGAATGTCTCAACATTTAGCACTCTTTATCCACAATAGCAATTGTTTTGCCTTGATAAGTCTTCCCAAAATGGTTTAAATAAATTCTAATCATCACCTATTTCAGTCGTGCATTTTCTCACCTCTAGCTGGTCTGCGGGTCTCTGATCCAGAAACAAAATATACAGCCATGGCAATGAGGACAATCATAATTAAATCAGCCACGAGGAACCCAGAGATTGTTCCAGTGTTCACTTCAATGCAGTTCTGGCACACTAATTGAAGGGCATAGGTGCAAAAAGAACAAGTATTATTGGAGCGATGTGAGCATTCTTTTCACTTTATGGCTTCCTGTCATTATTTCTTGTCTTTTATATAAATTTTTGTAAGGTTGTGATATTATGTCATTGTTAATGTATACACTTACATAGGGCTTGTTTACACAATTATCTGTATCTTTACCAAAAAATGCCAATCACTAAAATAGACGACACTAGTGAATAGTGGCATTTCTCGCGTTACAAAATGTAAGGTGTACCAACTAGTCGTGTCTGCCCAAAGTTTTAATGTCTCTGTAAACATTAATATGAGCTTAATATGAGCTTCTAAAGGCTATTTACCACATGGGTTCCACGCTAAACAGTATACACATGCCACCTCTACCTATCTGTACCTACACCTGCTTAATTTGGGTAGTTGCTTCTTCCTTTGCTACTGTTGCTTGGCCTTTGGTTATTTAACTCAAGCCTTGCTCTGCATGGTGTATAGGTGTGATGACAAATTGCAATCACATATTATTCCAAGAGAGATAGGAACCACTATTCTTCACCTTTAAGACCACAAGGTGAAGCTGAGCCAAGGGTTGGCATAACTCCACATAGCAGTAGAAAAAAAAGGAAGGTCTGGTCACTCAGAGATAATATCAAGCTTGACAAAGACCTCGTTAGGGATCGAAAGTTGCTTCTTGACTGTTACACTTTATTCTGTTAAATCTGCCTATTGTGTTACCCCTGAGTGCCTTTGTTTTTATATTTCAGTCACATTATTTTAAGTCTAATCACCTGTTTAAGATTATGTTTGCCCCTTCAGGTATCTACATTTTTCTGTCACATTTGATTTGTGTACATTTTGACAAAACGCCCAGAACAGAGGATTAAAATGTTACTTCTACGAATAAAACAGTCAAACTCTTAGGCCTTGCAAACTTATGTAATGTTCCAAACTGGTCAGTCTATCCACCAATCTCTTCTAGATTTCTGGACTTTGTTTTCAAAAATATTTTTTCACTTTACATCACTAGGTTTTCTCACAAATTATTATTGTTTATATATTATGCAGCTTTTTATTCTTATTCACTAGTAGCCACTGAGGACATATGGTTACTTAGTAGCATTATTTCTCTTCTGATGGCCACATGGTTACACATGCACACACCACTTACAATTTTCAGACTCAGTATCCAATCATTCCCAGCACATTCTGCAGGACCACTGGTGAGTCTCTTATTATTTTCTATTATAATTTGTATTGATTTATTAAGTGATTTACAAAAAGACGCTGAACACCAGTGCTGCACACTGTACAACACTGATATAGGAAGCACCTCTAGTGGCCATCTGAGTGACTGCCACTAGAGGTGTTACTAGGCAGCAATGTTAACAATGCCTTTTCTCTGAATAGGCAGCGTTTACAGTGATCAGTCTGCAGGGACAGGTTATAGACACCAGAACCACTACATTAATTAATGTAGTGGTTCTGTTGATTATAGTGTCCCTTTAAACAAGTTTTGCAAAACCTAAAAGCGTGTACATGTCATACATAGTTTATGACCACATGGCACATGCACCAATGACAATATATTTATTTATTTTGTCAGCAAACATACAGTTAACTTTTGCTGACAAAACATAAATATATTGTCCTTGTTTATAATATCCTTTATTGTTTTCAATAAATACTTATTAAAATTTGGCAAGTAAGGAATATGAAAATAGTAAGGGCTACTTATTAAAAATGTCACAGATGAAGAGTGCATGCGCAGAGTAATGCTTTTATAGTGTCCTGGTGGAGTTGCCATGGCAAGGAATTAGAAAATGCACCTTTCTCAGTAAGACACATTATACATGTTTTCATTCACATATAATGTCATATACACACACACACACATTACATTGCATATACCTGTGTATAAACCACAAGACAAAAGGTTTGATAATTACCTGGGTATTGGCAGGCACAAGCTGCCTCCTCCCCTTCCTCAAGAATCTCTTGCCACTTAGCAAAGCCTTGCCATGCTAGTCTGCGCTCAATGGCTGAGAGCTTCTCAGCTCATGAATCAGGCTCTGTAAGGCAGTTAATGGAGTTAATGGAAGCTCCTTGCACCTGGCGGGATCCCAGCAGGCATCTAGTAGGGTCAGGTAAAGTGTCAACCCATTCTTAAAAGGATTGACTACTTACTCGAGGAGGCTGCCAGTGCTGTAGTGATTATGGTGCTTGGAGTGTTCCATTAAAAGCATTAGAAACATAGAATGTGACGGCAGATAAGAATCATTCGGTCCATTCTAAATACTTTCATTAGTCCCTGGCCTTATCTTAAGGCTAGGATAGCCTTATGCCTATCCCATGCATGCTTAAACTCCCTCACTGTGTTAACATCTACCACTTCAGCTGAAAGGCTATTCCATGCATCCACTACCTTCTCAGTAAAGTAATACTTCCTTAAAGAGACAAATTGACACATCAGGAGGGGCAGACAAGAACACAGCGACCAGTTAATTATCAACATGAAAATATGTTTAAACGTCCTCTCCCATTGAAAAAGATCTGCAGGTTAATAATGAAAATGTGATTTGTCAGGAATCCAATGTGAATTCAAACAGATTTTCCAGTTCTAGGTCAAAATAGCCAAACTGAAAACAGCGGAATTTGATATTTTTTCTGATCTGGCTGATTCTGGCTATTGTGGCCTATAATTTGAAATTCACTTATAATTAATTTTGAATACACAACAATTCAAACTGTAGAGAATAATCCTCTGAGAGTCAGCGTGAACTCACTTCTAACATAGACAGTAAGACTGAGAACTTTGTCATCGTATTTACAAGAGTAGTATCCTCGAGGATCGTCCCATATGGAGCCCAGATCCAGTTTATCAGTGCCGTCCATGTCATCTATAATTTCATTGTCCAATAACCATGAAGTTGCATTCTTAGGACACTTCAGGTACAGTTTTCCATTAAATTCTTCAACTACCAAGATACAAAGAAAAGCCAAGAGCAGTTAGAAGAGACAGGATAAAATACAGTGGGCCAAGCATTTATTAGACTGATCGTTCCAGCAAATGACATATTAATGTGGTTCTGTCGTTTTCTAAAATGTTGTCCTTTCTAATGTTGGTGCTAACGAACTGATGTTAATACTTTATTAAAGACATCGAATGCCGTGAATTGCTGCAGAAAATTGCTATAGCTAAAGTAAAATGAGAACTTCCGCTTTAACTGTATGGAGAAGACAAAACCCTCAAATTTGTAGTGGTTACGTTGCCTGGAGCACCCCTTTTATTTACCACAATTCTCTCTGCCCATATAATTGTAATAGTGATCAGCTCTCTATACAGATAAATAATTGTCAATCAACATTCTGGATTGACTGTTTGCAACGAGAAAGTGGTAAACATAATAGAATGTGACGGCAGATAAGAACCATTCGGCCCATCTAGTCTGCCTAATTTTCTAAATACTTTCATTAGTCCCTGGCCTTATCATATAGTTAGGATAGCCTTATACCTATCCCACGCATGCTTAAACTCCTTTACTGTGTTAACCTCTACCACTTCAGTTGGAAGGCTATTCCATGCATCCACTACCCTCTCAGTAAAGTAATACTTCCTGAAATTATTTTTAATCCTTTGCCCCTCTAATTTAAGACTATGTCCTCTTGTTGTGGTAGTTTTTCTTTTAAATATAGTCTCCTCCTTTACTGTGTTGATTCCCTTTATGTATTTAAATGTTTCTATCATATCACCCCTGTCTCGTCTTTCCTCTAAACTATATATGTTAAGTTACTTTAACCTTTCCTGGTAAGTTTTATCCTGCAATCCATGAACCAGGTTAGTAGCCCTTCTCTGAACTCTCTCTAAAGTATCAATATCCTTCTGGAGATATGGTCTTCAGTACTGCGTACAATACTCCAAGTGAGGTCTCACCAGTGTTCTGTACAATGGCATGAGCACTTCCCTCTTTCTACTGCTAATAGCTCTTACATGTATACAACAATAATCTTTAAACAGGACAGACTTGGGGGAAAAAAAACACATTACAATACTGACTATCATTCTGATTCTATACCAAAAAGCATATTATTTGTGTTACAGTTTAACATACCCATATACATAAGCAGTCGAACGCATTACTAATTCAATTTCACAGCATATTCAAGGAGTGGTCTTACCGGTGATTTATAAAGAGGCAACATTATATTTTCATCCCGAGAACTACATTACAAACACACATGGTATAGCTACATCCAGTCAAACACATTAGTAGTTACATACATGCATTACATATCATGGATACTCATTGTAACCAGTGGACAAAACTGCAACTTTTAAATGAAAATCTGGTCATCTACATATCTCTACTGCCTGTTGGATGAGCAAATCCTAGCATAAACAATTAAACTACATGACCCTCATTTCATGGAATTAGGTAGAACCTAGAAACTTGAAAGTGCTACATTTTGCTCTTATCAAAAAAAAAAATATTAAATAAGGTAAAAAAAAAAAAAAGTTTACTCTCATCAAAGCATCAAAATGGCCCAATATTTTACCATTACCAGCATCGTGTTACTCACCTTTAATTATATCTGAGAGACAATAGATCAGAGTCAACAGAAGGGGAAAAGGCACAAACAAGGAAAGATAGAAGAAAAAAAACATCAGGGAGAAAAAAAAAACCAATATTAATATTATTAAAAATTTTACCATCATTATTGTATCAATGCACAAATGTTTCTGGGCATATAGAATATGTGAAATATATTATCTAGTGATTGGATATTAAAAGTTGATTTTATAATGTAGAGAATTGTAAAAGCAGCACATTCATGCAACATTTTGTTATATTGTATATCAAGTAATATTCAAGATCTTACATGTATACTGTTTTTTGAGAAGGTGTATCGTATTTTACAACAGTGAGTGCCAGAAGTATAAGAACATATTTGTAATAGTCCATAATTCTCTCCATTTAACATGAAAAAATTCCAATACATACCTTCTGCTAATGTGCCTGTAAAGGTTAGCGTGGTAATCAGCACCCATACACTAAGTGACGTATACGCCATATTTCTTCTTGTGTGCTACAGGGTCTGTGTGAGGCTGTGTGCTGAGCTATATGTTATACGTGAGCACAGGAAGCAAAGTCTGTGGCTTTTATGGCTTAGAGACATGTAAAATGGGGTTTAAAATACTCAAAACAACTCTTCTCAATAAAGCACCAATTCACCTAAAATTAGTCTTTAAAATCCGAGCGAAGAACAAACATACACATACACATTTACAATAAAAGTTTTGCAATATTGAATCATTGTTATTAATTACTAATAGTACACATTTTTGTGGACAAGAAATCGAACAATAATGAGTTTTTTTTATACTATTATATAATTATCTTTTTAACCACTAAAGGACACAGCTTCAGCTTGCTTAAGGACACAAGCAATTTTGGCATTTTTGCTATGCTTTTGTACAAACACAATTTAAATTTTTCTAATTTTCCTAATTTTCTGCACTAACACTTATTATATACATTTTTTTATGACAAATGGGAGTTAATTTGATGTGACATATATATATATATATATATATATATATATATATATATATATATGTATGTATGTACACACACACTCATTTATTATAAGAAAAAAAAGACACACACAAAAAAAAATAAAATATTTTTTCACAGTTTCTCAATAACAATGTGTGCAACTTAAGAAAGGTAATTCAAAATAATAATAATAATAATAATAAATTATCTTTCCTGGCCTGAATTAGAGTACATCATATGTCTAGGATTTCAGATTATAATTTTTTTGTCAATCTTTATTTTATTGCAGTCAAGTTTTTCACAGGATACATAAGCAATTAAGCAATGCAAGTCGAAGCACAACAGAGTAACATTCAATAAAGAATTACAATCTCTTTTTTATATTTGCAGGATAAAAACAAGCAAAAGCTCCAAATACTGTAAGCCAGTCGACACACTAATAGCATAAATATGGGTACTATATCAGAGCTAAAATACATTTGGCAAAAAAAGAGTGTTTAGAAATGTAGCAACTCACAGAAAAAGGAGAACAAGAGAGTGTAACATACTCTCTCTCACCTTGTGGTCTCTGCAACCAGTGGACTGCGTCTGCATGACTGACACTTGCGGCATGTTAATGGACGCCGGCCGCTGCGGATCCACGGAAAATTATACCCCACGTCCGCCCACGAGGTTGACGATGTTGGCTTGCGTGTGACGTCACGCGGGCACCGCGCGCGCGTTTTGAGGTCAAGGATCGATCTCGGCCAATCAGAAAGGTAAAGCATGTATTTAAACTCAAAATTATCTTTCCTCATTGCCCTGTCATGGTTTCCCTAGTGGTTGTCCGAGAGTATGTTCCTGAATGGTTATATTCTGTTTTTTTACTTTGGCTTTGATTTTGACTTCGACTTCCCTGTATTTTGGTATCCCTGACTTCTGGCTTTCCTTTATCGTTGTGTCGCTTTCTGTGTCCCATGACCTCGGCTAGTATCCTGACTATTCTTTGGTACATTAGTCCGGCCATTCTAAGGCCCGGTAATATTAGTCCTCTGTGTGACACAATTCTACGTGCTGGATCAAGTAGTAATCCTGACATCATGACAGGGCCATAGATCCTGTAGAATTGTGTCAGCCCATAGCTGTTTGCGAAAGGAAGTTAGAGGAGAATGATCACTGTATGGATCAATTTGCCCAGGCCTTCCGTACGCTTCTTACTCAAACAGCGCATCTGCAAGCTTCGGCTTCTCCAACTGTATCACCTCCGCCTTATGTACCTCCACCTATAGTACATAAGGCACCTAGTATCTCCCCATCTCCTCCACTGCATTTCGATGGTAATATTCAAGAATGCCGGGGATTCCTTAACCAAATTGAGTATCATTTTGAGTCCTCAACGGGATCTTTTCCCACAGACAGAGCTAAAATTGATTAGCTAATGAACCAACTTAAAGGTAAAGCTTTAGGTTGGGCCAATCCGTTATGGGAGAGTAATAGGAGCATTGCACACAATTACCAGGAATTCCTTGCGGAATTTAAACTTACGTTTCAACCATTATACAAGGAGGATATAGGGGAGGAGATGTGTGGGAGGTTACTCAGGTATGATTGGACACTGTACTAATCACTGTAAATCCCTCCCTTGCATGGGAGAATGCTTTATAAGGCCACTGTGTGAATAAAAGTTTAGTTCTGCTCCTGATGCTGTGTGTCGTCCAGTCATTGGGATTGCTGTTGGGATATTGTTGGATTATTTTGCCTGCTGGAAACCTTGCCTTATGGATTTATAATACTTGTTCCTGAGCCTCACTGGGATCTTAAGCGGAAATAACTTGTGGAATACCAGGTCTCCGCTACATTGGTTGGCAGCGCTGGGATCCAGACTCACAAAGGAACAAGGATTAATGGAGATTGATTACTCCACATTAAAGCGATCCACACTGAAAGATCTTCTGGAAGCAAGAGGTATTTCAGCCAGCAACAAAACAAAAGCAACACTCATTTCGGAAGTAATGGCAGAGTACCGAACAGAAGAGGATTCGGTCACCGAACAGAGGGATGCGACAGATGGAACGGAGCAGGCAGGGGGACACACTGCCGCTGGGGAGGAAGGATGACACCTTCAGCTCCCTGGGACACACACTGCCGCTGGGGAGGAAGGACGACACCTTCAGCTCCCTGGGACACACACTGCTGCTGGGGAGGAAGTACGACACCTTCAGCTCCCTGGGACACACACTGCCGCTAGGGATCCTCGCAGGACCATTCTAGGAGGTCCGCCACCTCGGGTACCGCTGGTTGCTGTTGGGGAAGAGGACCGGTTGTCTCTTCCCGGGCCTCATTGATGAGTCGCAGGTAATCCCACTCCAGGTCACATTCCTTGGCGACCAGATACCGTAGGTCTGTCTCGAGATCAACAGCGCTCGGTCGTAACACAGGTCCCAAAAACGAGAATCGGTAGCTTTCCCAAAGTCCTCATCATCAATATTATCCCAAAATGGGCCAGGGCCAGCGTAATCTCCACCCTCTGGGAACTCATACTCTGCCATCTCGGGGACACATTGAGCTGCGTACCACTGTATCGCCTGGTATGCGTCGTCGAGCGCCAGTTCTGCATATACTAGAATCTCGAGTCTAGTCACCCACGCTTCTTCGGTCTGTTTTCTCAGGAGGGGCATCCGCTCTGCCATTCGAGCCAGGATTCGCTGCCTTCTGCTGCGGCGCCGATCCCCTTGCGAATACTGTACTTTCTCCAGGGCTTCGTCCCACAACCCGGCTCTGGCAATCTCTCTGTACCTCAACATGTCCTCCTCTGACACTGCTCCAGACCTCAGGGATATGCAACAGTACAATCTATTTTGAAACTTCTCCTCCATTTTCTGAGTTCCTTTGTAGATAGGGGCGCTGTACGGGTACTGGCGTTGCCCTCAATTTGTAATCCAGGAACTGGTGTTGTCTTATAGCTGTGCTTCTGGGCTGTGGAAATGATCCTGTCGCTTGCCACCAATTGTAACGGACCGTTTTGCCCACAAGAGGTTAAAAACCGTTTAGGTGATATTCCCTTTTTTCAGCTGCACCGACAGCTACTGCAAGCACCAATCTCCTGAACTGCAAACCCAATGGAATACTCGAAACTCTCGAACTGGAGACACACGAATAGCTGCTAGCCGACGAACAGGAAAAGCCCCCAAGCGGCTTACACTCCTGGCAATCAGTCTCTAACAGCATACAGTAAATCCTCCCCCAATAATGAGACGACACTTCACTTTGAGGGTTAAGCAGGAACTCACTTGTAATGGCCACAAACTGGCTTTTATGCAAGTCCCCATGTAAGGGGACATCCCACAGGGTGGGACACAGTACAACCAATTGTTACAGGGGAACCGTAAAACACACCCACAATTACATCACAATCCCTCCTCTCTGTCCTGAAGATAATTGTGAAGTAATCAAATTATCTCCAAGGACAGAGGCAAAACTCCATTAACCACATGGCAGACAAAGGACAATAAAAGACATAAAATTACATACAGTTACATTTATTCCATAAAACATAGACATTCTACATATCCCCAGATAGCTTAGAACTGAGTGCACATTACTACCGAATGGCGCTCAGATCACATACATACAGTTCAATCGCCATGGAGCCAAAGTCTTTACACAGTCTTTCAGTATACGGCTGGGCTCCATGGCATGGCTATCTGGGTTAGAATGGCTTTAACAGTCCGCAGAAAGGCACAAATAAACCTTTCTGCCGGTAAAATAAAAGTTTAAAATGCAGGACCATAGTCTAAAGGGAGCAGGCGAGCAACCAGGCTTCTCCAGTGTACAGTGGCGAGGTTGGTTTCGCCACACAGGGACTACAGCCGGGTAAAAGAAGTCATCCTGGCCCGATATGCTATCACACCAGAAGCATATCGGAGGCGCTTCAGGGAATTGAAAAAGGCGGACAAGGATTCGCATGCAGAATGGGCTTGCCGATTACAAAAGGCAGCCCTCGGATGGGTACAAGCAAACCAGGCACGGTCCATGGAGGACCTATTACAAATGCTGCTGCTAGAACAGTTTTATGACAGGATACCCGCAGACCTGCAGGAGTGGGTAAGAGACCATAACCCCGCATCTATTACAGAAGCAGCTAAAAAGGCAGATGGCTACATGAATGCTCGTAGGCAACAAAAGCCAGTAGTAATCAAGACCGCTGTAAGGCCAGTCGGGGGGAGAGTATCCCAATAACACAATACCCCCACCACGACAACTACCAACCCCAACAAATGCTGCCCCACCGAGATTCCGGCCACCCAGCTCTGCGCAATGTCACCACTGCCAGAAGTGGGAACATTACAAGCGAGAATGCCCACAACTTAGAGACCGGTCCACATGGATCCGACCAGGACCACCACCACCACCGAGAGCAGCCGCCCATTACTACCAGGATGAGAGCACGACACCATATGGCTCGGCGGTTCCAATCACAACCATAGAACAGTGCTGACAACCGCCAGCACCACAGACAAACTGTATATTTGGAGGGTAAGGCCTACGCGACTCAGGAGCCACTATAACGCTGGTCAAGAGTCACCTTGTCTTGGATAAGGCCAGGACCAGCAATTGCCAGCGGAAGTTTTGTTGGGGAATGATCTGGGGAGGCTCATGTCTGCTTTTGAGCCCCAGGCACCCACCACAGGGGAAACTCATCCAGTGGTCAACAGACAACAGGCCCACACCCAGGACCACAAAACACTCCCAGAGGTTCAGGTAAGAGACCCTTCCCCTTCCTTAGAGTGTGTCCCCTGGGCCCCCCCTAATGAATTCGCAGCCAAAGTAATAACTGACCCTACGTTGCAAATATATAGGAACAAGGTTGTCACTGACTCACCCGGGGGGGAGGGCGAGAGATTTATCTGGAAAAAGCAGCTCTTATACAGGGAGTCTGACAAACAGATAGCCGGGTCAGACCCGATAGTTATGAAGCAGTTAGTGGTGCCGCAGCGGTACCGAGCCGAGTTACTCCGGATAGCGCATGATATTCTGCTATCCTAACATTTAGGGGTCAGTCCAACCAGATACAGACTGACCCAAAGTTTCTTTTGGCCAGGAATCAGCCAGGAAGTTCACAAGTATTGCAGCACGTGCGATACGTGCCAGAGGGTAGGAAAAAGGGGAGACCGAAGGAAGGCAAAACTACACCCCCTACCCATAATTGAGGAACCCTTTAGCAGAATAGCCGTAGATTTAATTGGCCCCCTCAGAAAAGCTAGCCCTTCAGGCAAGAAATATATCCTAACTGTGGTAGACTATGCCACTAGATGTCCAGAGGCGGTGGCTCTGACCAATATCCACGCAGAAACGGTAGCGTAGGCCCTCATGCAGATCTTCTCCAGGATGGGGTTACCCAGGGAGATCATCTCGGATCAGGGTACCCAATTTACCACGGAAGTCACCCAGCACCTCTGGAGGTTCTGTGGCATTAAGCCTATTATCAGTGCCCCGTACCATCCCCAGACTAATGGGCTCTGCGAACGGTTCAATGGTACATTGAAACAAATGCTCCGAACCTTCGCAGAGACCCACAAGGACTGGGAGCGATTCCTGCCGCACCTCCTCTTCGCTTACTGGGAGGTGCCGCAGGAGTCAACCGGGTTTTCCCCGTTCGAACTGTTATTTGGGAGAGAGTAAGGGGACCCCTAGATCTCATTAGGGAACATTGGGAGGGAGACCGGAGCGCAGACGGCACTCCCATCATACCTTATGTGCTGGCATTCCGAGACCGCCTAGAAGCATTGACTAGGACGGTAAAGGAAAACCTTCAGGCGGCTCAGACCCGCCAGCGCACCTGGTATGATCGGGGCGCCAGGGACCGTAGCTTTCAGGTCGGGCAGAAAGTTTTGATTTTAAAACCTGTCCGACATGATAAGTTACAGGCCACCTGGCAGGGACCTTATAGGGTAGTGGAACAGAGATGTGACACCACCTATATAATCGGCCCCTGTGCAGGGACTGGAGGGCGACGCATGCTCCATGTGAACATGATGAAACCCTACCAGGAGCGCTCCAAGGAGGTAACCGCTACATGTGCACCCAACTCTGACGAGTTTGACAGCCTGCCTCTACCAGACCTGCTGGGAGATGGTCAGTTGTCTGGAGATTTAGGGGAGGTTGCACTGGGAGACCGACTGAGCCCATAGGAACGTATCGAGGTACAACAGTTGTTAAGAGAGAAGAGAGAAACTTTCTCTAATGTGCCTGGATACACTCCTCTGGCCACTCACCGGGTAGAAACACCAGGACAACTTCCCATGCGCCAGACCCCCTACCGCATCCCTGAAGCGGTGCAGGAGAATATGCGCAAGGAGATCGATGAGATGCTCCAACTGGGGGTGATTGAGACCTCTGACAGCCCCTGCGCTTCTCCTGTAGTGCTCGTGCCAAAGCGAGACGGTACGACCCGCTTCTGCGTGGACTACAGGAGATTGAACGAGAAAACCGTGTCCGACGCCTATCCCATGCTTAGGATAGACGAACTCTTAGACAGGATGGCCCGAGGCCAATACCTCACTACCATTGACTTGTGTAAGGGGTATTGGCAAATTCCCTTGGCCCCAGACGCCATCCCTAAGTCGGCCTTTGTCACCCCATTCAGCTTGTACCAGTTTAAGGTCATGCCGTTTGGGATGAAAAACGCCCCGGCTACCTTCCAGCGGATGGTGGACCGACTCCTGGATGGGTTCCAGGACTATACCTGTGCCTACCTAGACGATATTGCAATTTTTAGCAATACCTGGCAGGAGCACTTGGCCCATATAGGAGTGGTTCTAGACAGGATTAGTGAGGCTGGTCTGACGCTGAAACCGGCCAAATGTAGTATAGGGATGGCCGAGGTACAATACCTGGGACAAAGAGTGGGTTGTGGAAAGCAGAAACCCGAACCAGCCAAAGTAGAGTCTGTAGCCCAGTGGCCCACCCCTAGGACTAAGACGCAAGTGCTAGCGTTTCTCGAGACGGCAGGGTATTATAGGAAGTTCGTCCCCAATTATAGTGCCCTGGCCAAACCCCTTACTGACCTGACCCGTAAGAACCTTTCCCGCCAAGTAACCTGGATCCCAGAGTGTGAGCAGGCATTTCAACATCTGAAAAATGCACTGATAAATGCCCCTGTCTTGGCAGCTCCCAATCCAACTAAACATTTTCTTGTTCACACAGACGCTCCTATGTTTGGATTGGGGGCAGTACTGAGCCAAGTCGGGGCCGATGGCGGAGAGCATCCCATGGCTTACATCAGTCGCAAGTTACTACCCAGAGAAGTAAGCTACGCCGCCATCGAGAAGGAATGCCTGGCTGTGGTGTGGGCCCTAAAGAAATTGCAGCCATATTTGTATGGACAGCCCTTTTCCTTGCTCACGGATCACAGCCCGTTAGTATGGCTGAACCGGGTGGCTGGGGACAATGCCAGGCTGCTGCGCTGGAGTTTGGCGCTGCAGCCCTTTGACTTTAACATTCAGTACTGCCCGGGCAAACAGTTATGGTCTCAGGGACTCCCCTAATTCTCACGTTTCTTGCTTTCATCCTGTCCTCTATATTAGCCAAACGGTTGAGCATGTCCTCATTGCTCTTCTGCAGCGAGCCTAGGACAGTATCTATGGCTGTTTGGGCCACTTTCGTCGTGCTCATGTCATCCTCCAATCTGATAATCTGGTCAGTGGGGTTGGCCACTTCTTTCCTCACCCCAGCCACATCTGCTTGGAACTTGGCCCTTATCTCATGCAAAAGGGCTTTGATGTCTGCTTTAGTCGAGAGGCAGTATCTCCCTCTTTTGGGGGCTGGTGGGTGGTAGTAAGTACCTCTTAGGAAGGTGGATAGTTCCTCCGGTAAGCTCTCTGCATCAGATGAGTCTGAGGTGGAGGCCTGAGCCGGCGCCATCTTTGCTGGTGCGGGCCTGGTCGGCTGCTGCAGGAACATGCCTATATCTCGGGTTCCCGGGCTCCTATCGGCCCAGAGTTTTTTGTAGCGTTTTCCCATCGTGTGAGGTGCAGGTAGATCCTGTCTCCGGGCACCGGTTGTGGTTCTGGAGGCCGATTACAGCCTTTAGCAGGGCTATCGGTCCGGAGCTCCCACAGTGTGCATCCGGCTCGATCGGCAGTTGGCTCCGCCCCATGGTGTATATTTTGAGCCTTATTGTACAGACATTTTTCACCAATTTCTTTCTTTGGTATTTTATTTTTACATGCACATTGCAATTTAGTAGTGTATTTTGTAAACTTGATGTGTGCTACTGTAGTAAAGTCAATAAATTGTGCTCAGCTATATCTCGTGAGTACAAAATGACCCCCTTTGAATACCCTTGTCACGTTTTTTTGTGAAAATACGGGGATGAATGTATTACATGCCCTGTACAGAAAGTTAGGAACATTTCTCTGTGTACCTCCTCGGCTCTCGTTTGCTAATTCTAAGCCTTCAACTTCTACTGACATTGCTCAGTCATCTCAGTGAAGGTACCCATGTAGTTAGGCCTGATATATCTGTCTGAGGCAGAAAAGCAATACAAGGGGAAGATGAATAATGGGAGGAAGGTTCACCATAGGCCAAACTGTCCCATCTGACCAAGGCAACGCCAGCACCTAAGGTCAATTATGGTACTGTCCTTGGTTTTAAATACTGTGTCTCCTAATATATTACGACCTCTTATTCAAATTCTTTTGATTATCAATGGTATATGTATTGCCAATAAAGCCATCTGAACTGGGCAGCTTAAAATGTTATTGATTCCAAATTTGCATGCCAACATATCATCCCTTTGCCCAATAGCGTTTGAGGCTGTTGTGTTGCGTGCCCACGCATCAGTTTTCGCACCGGGGCCCCATGGGTTGTGTGTACGCCACTGCCCACATTAGCTGTGTGCACACATATATAGCGATTAACGCTATATATGTGTGCACTGCGGGCCCCCCTCTACCTGTATTCTGCAGGTACACTTGAAATATACTGCCCAGATGCTCTGCTCTGTCGAAGTCTCGCGAGCGACAGAGCAGAGCATCTGAGCAGTATATTTCAAGTGTGCTGGGCCCCCTGCAGAATACAGGTACTGGGGGCTGTACCATTCCTCAGGACCTCCGGCTCCAGGGCTCCAGCCAGTGTGATATCCCCCCTCCATGGCCACAGATGAAATACAGGGAGGGGGGAATAAAACAATACAATCAATTTTGCAGCCCCATACATTTACACACACTATACACTAACATTTACACACACTATTCACTAACATTTACACACACTATTCACTAACACATTTACACACACTATTTACTAACATTTACACACACACTATTCACTAACATTTACACACACACTATACACTAACATTTACACACACACTATTCACTAACATTTACACACACTATACACTAACATTTACACACACTATTCATTAACATTTACACACACTATACACTAACATTTACACACACTATTCACTAGCATTTACACACACTATACACTAACATTTATACAAACTATACACTAACATATACACACAATATTCACTAAAATTTACACACACTACATCCTTACACAAACATACACTCTGCAGTCACTACACACACTACATCCTTACAGAAACACACACTCTGGAGTCACTACACAAACACACACACTCTGCAGTCACTACACACACTACTTCCTAACACAAACACACACTCTGCAGTACCTACACAAACACACACTTTGTAGTCACTACACACACTACATCCACTACACAAACAGACAGTCTGCAGTCACTATACACACATTAAATACTTACGCAAACACACACTATGTAGTCACTATACACACACTACATCAACTACACATAGACACAAATAAAAAATTAAAAAAGGTTAGCGCTAATAATAAAAAGATAAAAAGGCAGCAGCCTTATAGGGGGTCACCCTCTAACCCTCTACAATAGAAATATACAAGAAAACACAGAAAAGGCTGCGCCTAATAGAATAAAAAAAAAAATATATAATAATGAAACAAAGTCCCAGTCAGATTAGTGACAGTAATACAAGAAAGTTCCAATATTGTCCAAACTGGTGTAGTGTCTCCTTTGTTTTCAGTTGTCCGTCTCACGATATGAAAGACACAATGGGAGAGAAAACCAATCGTGCAGATAGTATAAATAAGTGGAAGTGAATATAAAATATAGATTTTGCACTCACATTTCCATGAGCTAGGACTAGCTCTAGTTTGATGGGCATACAGCGGACAACCCTCCGCTTATAGGGGTGCTTTTCCTCCTGGGGAGTGCCGGTATCCAATTCTCAGAAAGAGAGAAAAACAGCAAATAGTGCTCTCTGATGGAATATTTGGTAAAAGGAGTTAAAAGAAAATAAAATATACTCACAAGCAGAGTGCAGTCCTTTCTGCACTCTATTTAACGCATGGGTGGTATGATCCCCACCTTAGGATATGCCAGGAACAGTGAATAAAATGGTAAAAGGAATAAGTAATATAATATATAATTTATTTGATATAGAATATAAAACCAATTGTTTAATATAAAATATAAAAACCAATAACGCGTTTCGCCTGATAGGCTTTATCAAATTGGGATAAGAACATAACCTGGCACAAGAGGAGTATATATAACTTATGCATAGATTCAAATTTGGCGCCAAAATTGCGCACCAATTAGAGCTGTGCAAATTGTACATACAGTATATACAATAAAAAGATAAAAAAGAATATACAGTATTAATATATTGAATATTACAATATTATTAACATGCTTTTAATGTAAAAACGAAGGTTATATTGTATATATAAACCTAAAATGAATAAATCGTGCGTGTCACGTGACCCGCTAAGTACCATGGGATTTGTAGTGCGTGGGCCACGTGACCGCAAGGAAGCAAGCTGATGATAAGCTGTACGTGCGGCTAATGCGGCACGCAACGGCAGCTGGGAGGGGTTAGACAGTGTCACGTGACCCGCGGCGTCGAACACCTCCAGTGTCCGCGGGTCACGTGACCATAGCTGGAAGATAGTGTGTGAGCTGTCCGTGCGGCTAATACTAAAAAGGACGGCACGCACGGGCAGCAGGGAGGAGTAGGGCTATGTCATGTGACCCGCGGCGTCACATAGCTTCAGTACCCGCGGGTCACGTGACCAAAGCCAAAAGAATTGTGGGAAATGAAGTTTTAAGCATCAATATATAAAATACATTATATAATAAATAAATGGAGGGTAGAATGATATTTAAAAAATATATAAAATAGATCTGCCCTTGAAATACACAGGAAAAGGAGCATAAATACAAGTAGAATAATAACAGAAAGACATGCAAGAGATAAATAAACTGTTATAAATAGATGGGTCAGTATAATAAAACCACTTAATAAAAAACAAATATATAGGAAAAACAATACAATTGCAGGGTTTATAAAAAATTGAATAAATCAAAGTCTACATTTAGACCTTGGGGTGTTAGGGTCTGTAAATAAAATACCCATTCCATCTCTGATCTGCCAAGAATGTTTTTTATATTTCCACCTCTCCAAGGTATTTGGCATTTTTGAATTCCTAAACATTTGAGAAATTTTGGGTCTCGATTATGATTAATAAAGTGCTTGGATACAGAATGGTTAAGATATCCATTTCTTATATTCCTGCAGTGTTCTGCTAGTCTTATCTTTAAACATCTGGTGGTCATACCCACGTATTGGAGGCCACACGGGCACTCTAATAAATAAATAACGTTGGTAGTATTACACCCAATGAAGTCTTTTATATTATAACTTTTGTTGGTTTGGTTGGATTTAAAACTAGTAGTTTTTGATTTGGTTGTTGGATCAGTATTTTTGCATACAGTACAGCGTTTACATTTGTAAAAACCTTTTGCCCCTTCTAAAAAAGTGTGATTAATATTTTTAATTTCTTTGGTATAATTGTTAGTTAAAATTGATCTAAAATTAGGTGCCCCCCTAAAAACAATTTTGGGCTGTGTTGGTAAAATTTCTTTGAGCAGATCATCCTGTCTTAAAAGATGCCAATGTTTTTTAACAGTTTTTTTAATAAAACCACTTTTGTTATTATAATTAAAAATTATAGGAAGATTGGGGGCTTCTAAAATATTTTTATCCTTATACGTTAAAAGACTTTCTCTAGGTTTATTTCTAACTGTGTCTATAGTATTATCCAAAAGAGTACAAGAATAATTT